AGATGATTGGGCTCGAATGTTACCAATGGCTGAACTTGCGACAAACAATCATGCCTCCGAAACAACAAAGGTCTCCCCGTTCTACGCCAATTCAGGAAGAAATCCAAGGATGACTTTTGGCCCTTTGGAACATGGTCGAACGACGGCGGAGGATCAAGCGAATCGTATTGCAAAGGAAATGAAGGATGTGGTGGATTTCTTAAGAGAAGAAATGTTCCGGGCGCAAAGGATACAAGAAGAATCAGCCAATAGGAATCGAATTCCAGCTCCTCGATACCATTTAGGAGATAAAGTTTTCCTATCGACTCGTCATATTCTAACCAAACGACCTTCCAAGAAATTCGATTGGAAACGTATTGGACCATATAGTGTTAAGCGCATTGTTAATCCCTACGCCTATGAGTTGGAACTTCCCCGGTCAATGAAAATTCACCCAGTATTTCATGTTTCACTACTGTCACCTGATGCGAATGATCCTTTACCGGGACAACAACAGTTACCACCACCTCCGGTTGAGATCGAAGGAGAAGAAGAATGGGAAGTCGAAGATATTTTGGATTCGAGGAAACGAGAGGAAGGTTTGAATACTTGGTACAATATAAAGGATATGATGAAGCCTCCTGGCAACCACTATCGGACCTTGAACATTCACCTGAAATCATTAGACGATTCCATGAGCGTTATCCAGAGAAGCCTAAGCCTACCAGGAGGTAGGCCTTAGAGGGGGGCGTGGTCTGTAACGGCAGCTACGTATTTCGGCTAGGTGATGAACTGGGATGAGGGAAGGAGGTATCGTGCAGTGGAATTAGGATTTGTAATGGGGATTTCTGTTATGTTCTTTGGGTTTCTGTTATGCGAAGGTATTAGTCATCATTGGATTATGGATGGATATATAAGGGGGCGTTGTCTTGTGCTTTTGTCTGTTTTCCTTCTTCTCTTTCTTTCTTACGCAACCTCTGTATTTATTCCACGAATACTATTCTTTGTCTGCACCACGTCATAGGGCTCCAACTGGTTTATCATACCAGATAGAGCCACCCCATAGTCCATAGTCAAAAGTATACCTTTACGTCTACGTCCACGTCTATGTCACTACCTAGGTTGTATTCCTTGGCACTACAGTCTATCGCCTACCGTCCCCGTGATAATAACAACGGTCGGCTACTTTACCGTGGCGCACTCTATGTACCGGACGTCGACGACCTTCGGCTAAGACTTCTCAAAGAACACCATAACAAACCATCAGCAGGACATCCTGGTAGAGCAAAGACCCTAGAGCTTTTGAATCGAGAATACTACTGGCCACAAATGCGAAAGTATGTCGACCAGTATGTTAGGAATTGCAATGTGTGTGCCCATAGTAAGGCACCACGTAATGCGCCTTATGGAGTACTCCGCCCCATGCCAATACCTGATGGACCGTGGACGGATGTGTCAATGGATTTTGTTACAGATCTTCCTGAAAGCAATGGGTACAATGCAATCCTGGTTGTGGTAGATAGGTTGACTAAAATGCGACACCTTATACCGACAACTAAAGAGGCGGATTCAAGGGAAGTAGCGAGGCTATACATTGAAAATGTTTGGAAATTACATGGACTACCTGAAACTATGATATCTGATCGAGGAACACAATTTGTTGCGGAGTTTTGGAGGTCCGTTTGCGATCGCCTAGAAATATCGCCAAAGTTCTCTACCGCGTTTCACCCCCAAACCGATGGGCAGACGGAAAGGATCAATGCCATAATGGAACAATATCTTCGGAGTTATGTTTCCTACCAACAAGACGATTGGGTTCGATGGCTACCGATGGCCGAATTTGCAATCAATAACCACGCTTCGGAAACAACCAGAATCTCTCCTTTCTATGCTAATACGGGAAGGAATCCAAGAATGACGTTCGGCCCTTTAGAACATGGTAAGACGATGGCGGAGGACCAGGCCAATGGTATTGCACGAGAGATGAAGGAGGTATTGGATTTCCTACGAGATGAGATGTTTCGGGCGCAAAAGATTCAAGAAGAGTCAGCCAATTTGAATCGAAATCCAGCCCCCCACTATCGGGTAGGAGATAAGGTTTTTTTATCAACACGCCATGTCCTCACTAAACGCCCTTCGAAGAAACTCGATTGGAAACGTATTGGACCATATGTCGTGAAGCGGATCGTTAGTCCTTATGTCTATGAGTTGGAACTCCCTCGTTCTATGAAAGTTCATCCCGTATTCCATGTCTCTTTATTGTCATCTGCAGCAAACGATCCTTTACCAGGGTAACAACAGTTACCACCTCCGCCGGTCGAAATTGAAGGACAGGAGGAGTGGGAAGTCGAGGATATTTTGAATTCCAGGAATCGCCGGGGAAGGTTTGAATACTTGGTAAAGTATATTGGTTATGATGAAGCTTCGTGGCAGCCATTGTCGGATGTCGAACACTCGCCCGATATCATCAAACGATTCCATAATTGTTATCCACGGAAGCCTAAGCCTACTAGGAGGTAGGCCTTAGAGGGGGGAGTGGTCTGTAACGGCAGCTAGGCGGGTTGGCTATGTGAGTTGTCTGGGTACAAGGGAGAAGGATTATGCAGTGTGGTTGGGTTTAGTGAAGCGGGTTTCTATTATGTTCTTTTTGTTTCTGTTATGCGAGGGTATGAGTCAGCATTGGGATAGGGTATGGATATATAAGGGGGGCGTTGTCTTGTGATTTCTTGTTTCTCTTTCTTTCTCTTTTCTCTTTACGCAACCTCTGTATTTCACAGTTACGAATACTATTTGGTTCGCGCTACGTTATATGGTTTACCCGGTATACTAGACCAGGTACAACCATCCATAGTCCACAGTCCCCGTTCTTGCCTTAGGTGTACCCTTCGGCCCCATAGTCCATAGTCCACGAACCTTAGTCCACAGTCCCCGTTCTTGCCTTAGGTGTACCCTTCGGCCCCATAGTCCATAGTCTACGAACCTTAGTCCACAGTCCCCGTTCTTGCCTTAGGTGTACCCTTCGGCCCCATAGTCCATAGTCCACGAACCTCCTACGTCCACGTCTTCGCCTCGGTTGTATTCCTTGGCTTCATAGTTCCTACGCCCACAGTCCCCGTTACAACACCCAGGCCCAAGACGTCGGCCTAGATGCCGCCATCAAAGACACCCGGCCCGAAGACCCCGGCCAAAACACCTGCTCAGACTACTGCTGCCCAGCGTGGAGGGAAAAGGTCGAGAGCGTAAGTTGGACTAAATTCCGTATCAGTAGTATAGTTTCTCCTCATGTGGCTCATGCAGTCAATACATTAGACACCATCTGTTCAATGAGCCTGCTGAGAGCTCGCCTTATAAGAGTGAGCTGGAGGAAGAGCAAGGGGACTTAATACCAGAGTACGAAAGTTGGGCCACTGCTTCACAAGCTGACAGCGCTCTGGAGTCTGAAAGAACTACGCAAGAAGAGATGCCCGGTGAAGAGCCTGCCGGGGAAGGTAGTTAAGTTGATAGTGGCCCTGATGGGAGTATTCCTCCTGGCAGGTGCGGGGTCGAGTCAATCGATATAGAGGTGGGTTATCTTAGCGATGCATCGGCCAGTTCGATTGAAATGGGCAAACTTCAAACAAATCCCCATCTTCCCCAGTTCTCCTACCTCCAAACCTCCCCTACTCCCACTAACATCAACCTCCCCGACCTCCCTGTGAAGGGCTGGACTTCCGTCTCTCATCCTACGACTCGAAAGAAAGTTCGTTTCGAGTAGCACTGGTTGATAGTAGGTTGCACGCTCCAGTCACCTGCTCGTGAGTTTTCTGACCCTAGTCGCAATCTTTAGTTTTTGACGGTTGTGATTCTCGTCTTTTTGTCGGCCTATCTTTTATGGCGCTATTTTTTAGCCTCTTTGGCGGTTGTTGCGATATGTTTGGTCTATCTGTTTTGGGTGATTTGACAGTTGTCCTGGTCATCTTTTGGGATTAACCTTATCTATTTTGGGTCTTTTGGTGTTTGTCTTATCTTTATTCGGTCTTTTGGGGGTTAGTCTTATCTCTTTTGGGTTATTTGATGGGGGTTCTTGTGGTTTAGAGTTAGTGATATCTGTTAGAGTCTTTTGGCGCAGGACGTGAGCTGAATTAGGGTTAGTTGGGGTTGAGGTCATTTTGAATTTGTCTGATCATTAGTAGTATTCTGTTATTAAAAACGTCACTCGACCAAATACAATACAGTGATGAGTAGGTTGAGCAAAAGGGCGTAGCCGATCCCAAGCAAGTGCTTAGTCATCTGAAAATCCAAGTCACGTCCAGCGTCATCTCCTCTCCTCTATCCAATATGAAGGCGAGTACACAATATCTGTTGCTCGCCTGACCTATGATAACTCTAGTAAACGGACTGGATCGACGGAACACAAATAGCAGTAAAGCCCGGAAAGGAATGGTGCGGGATCGTAGCCTTTTTCGTCTCCTCCCATTGCCTACCCTCCGGGAACGCGGGCTTGCTGGGGACACCAGACTCAGACTTGAGAGGGTTTTGACTTGACCGCCCTTGACTACCCGTAAACAATTTAGTGGAATGGCGTGAATCTGTATTATGGTGGACTTATTTAGGCTAAACCTTGGATTCTAGTAGCTCGAAACAAATCGCGGGACATATCTCTTAGCGTTGTTTGCCCCTAGCTATTGGTCCGTGTATGGATCAATAACATCACGGCAGAAGTTGCCCTCCGAGTCATCTCCCCACTCCCCCTTCCCAAAACTCTCTTATAAAGTTGGAACGTTGCACTGCCGATTTTATCGACAAAGACATTCTTGACAATGCCTCAGTGAGAGAGTCAGTTTCATTTGTCTAACTCCTACCGTACCTCGCAAAACACATACAGAGAAACTTCCTCCAGTCGCAACACCAGGTCATTTAGAAGGGACAGACGACCGACTACTCAAAGACATATACGATCTTCACAGGAGATTCCAAGCACCTTTCCACATAACTCAGCCAGATGATTGCCTATGAGATCGTCACAGGCGCGAGGGCGAGACATGGAGTTTGAAGACGATGTCTCCGAATACGGGGATACATCACAAAGAGCTTCACAGATTGATTTACAGCTTCATAGTGAGATGTATTTGACAAAAGACGGGAGATTCAATGCCCGGCAACCTACGAGCCCGCCACTCTTAAGCCTACCACCCTAGGAGTCTCAATTTCAGCAATCCTCGTCGAGGGGTACATTACCGTCGGCCGCACCAAATAGAGAATCTGATCCGAACCAGCTGCATGAAACTTTTTATCCCTCCCCCAGGCGTGGTAATAGGTCTCCTACCCATCGAAATGCCCTAACTAATCATACACATACTTGTAACGGCAATTAGGTATTTCCGGCTAGGTGATAAACTGGAACGAGGGAAGGAGGTATTGTGCAGTGGAATTAGGATTTGTAATGGGGATTTCTATTATGTTCTTTGGGTTTCTGTTACGCGAAGGTATTAGTCATCGTTGGATTATGGATGGATATATAAGGGGGTGTTGTCTTGTGTTTTTGTCTGTTTTCCTTCTTCTCTTCTTTCCTTACGCAACCTCTGTATTTACTCCACGAATACTATTCTTTGTCCGTACTACGTCATAGGGCTCCAACCGGTTTATCATACCAGGTAGAGCCACCCCATAGTCCATAGTCAAAGTATACCTTCACGTCTACATCCACGTCTACGTCACTACCGAGGTTGTATTCCTTGGCACCACAGTCTATCGTCTATAGTCCCCGTGATAATACTCCCTCCGGTCATCAAGATTCTGAGTCTATTAGAACATCGTCGGGGGGGACACGCCCCGAAGCCCTTCGTCAACTTTCTGAGCTTTCTGGACCGGCGTCGATAAGAGCTCCTTCCGAAGTTGTCAGCAGTACAGATTATGCTAGTGGCAGCGGCGGGAGGTATTCTGGGGAGTCATCATTACAAAATCTACTAGCACCGGTCGACTCTACCGATCCCAGCAAAACCAGAGCTCTCCGACATCGTAGCTTAGGGTAATTCGACATTGAGCTGAGGACTCTAATCGAAAAAGCTGGGTGGCATTTCACCAAAGAGACACGATTCAAAAACCCGATACCCTCGTTATTGGAATTGGCGTCCATAGTCAGAAATTCATTGGATTTTGCCAGGGTGGAAACCGACTTTTCAGCGGAGTTGTCGACCGGCGTGTCCGGGCAGGTGAGGTTTTATCATCAATGGACTCATTCACACATGATGGAGAAGGCAAAGGCGGTAATCGCGTTATATTACGGCCTAGCCGGCATGACCGGTGAGCAAGCAAAAGCCCGTGTCGATTACTTCCTGACAGATGACCGTTTCAATTGTGATCTCACTCATTACGAGGTATATCCACTGTTCGTCCAGAGGTACAGATTTGGTACTAACGTCTTTAGCCCGTACAATGGCACTTTGCCGCACCTCAAATACCACGTTTTATCGTCTACGCCTACTATAAGACCAATCGTAGGATTGCCGTCAACGATCCGGAATTTGAAAGTTGTATCAACCCGTCTTTTATCTGCCTGGTTTCTACTGTACTTTACCATGCACTGAGAGTCCACGTAATTGGAGGCAGCAACTGGAAGAATGGTGTCTTCAATAAGAACTATTGTGGCGGTGAGCACCCCGTCTTTCATCTGGTCAGATTATCGACGGGCATCATTATTGACGGTGGTGCTAGTAATTTTCAAGAGGCACATGCGCACATGGAAGAGGTCCTTCCCCGATGATAAGACGTTAAATCTAGTACTGAAGGAGATTCAACACGAGATATTGAAACACATTAAGAGGACAAACTGCTGCAAGATTACCACTATCGAGAGCAGGGAGGCAATTATTGACCCTGGAGTAGGCAGCTTTTTTGAGGGTCTCCGATCCAAGCTCAGTACGGAGACTGATAACGACGATATGGGGTCCGACGAGGCAGACGACCCGCCGTTTGACGATGACAATGGGGAGGAGAGCAATGTCACTCCACCTACAGTCGGGGACTACATAGTCGATGCAGGAAGCCAGATAGATAGGACTATTGGAACAATTACCGGGATTAATGTAAATATTGAAAATGACGTAGAGAGAGATGTCAGTATGATGCAGGGCGGAGAAGAGCGCTCGGGAGAATTAGTCAGAAGACGGAGAAGGAGACCGCGCAGGAGCAAAGTACAAAGGGTCAAATAGCTCTCACCTAAAAAGACGAACTAGATAGAACCAGGGGTGTCAAAAGACAACGAATCAATAGACAGTATTACCCAAAGAAAATTCAAACGTAGAATCAAGGGACGGAAAGATGAAGAGTTTAGACCAAAAGACGAGAGATAGTTGCCATAAGACGAGATGTGCGAATGAAAAAATGAAGAGTGTGAACCAAAGGACGGGATAGTTGTCGGAAGGCACAGATCAGTGAGAAAGGACGATATAAACTGTTAAAAGACAGAGAGTGTGAGCGTAAAGACGATATGTAGTCGTCGAGATAGGCAGGTTGAGGACATAAGTCATCCAATATGACGTAGGTAATTAGACTAAAGGCGAGGTGATGAGGGCATAGGATGACTTTCATAGACCAAGATGTGAGCATAATAGTAGAGGAGCTACCTCCTATGTCCAGAAGACGAGCTCGTCTTTAGATGTCGGGACGACGTCTTTGAGGGATGGGAGAAAGTTTTCGTCTTTAGCCTTCGCGACGTCGTCTGTTGATCAAGAGATGCAGAGCTCTCGTCGCGGGGCACCCAGGTGTCGGTATGCAGGTAAGAAATCGCTTTGTATAGTCTGGAGCATCTGGGGTGTCTGGGGCGCCCAGGCATCATAAGACAAGACGTCATTTTTTGCTGATGCACTCTCCATGTGTAGGTTCGAGTTGCTACTAATACATGGTGTTTCTGGGACTGACCAGAATCAGAATGATTCAGAGATTCTAGTAGCCATATCGTGGATGTAGTTAGATCTCAAGGGGGCGAGTAGCGAATATTCTGCAGGGTACGAAGGAGGTGGTAGAGGTCAGTGGGAGAGCTTGCAATAGGGGTCCTGAGGGACTCTAACGTTGGTAAGGATTTAACGGGACAAGGGAAGCAGCAGTGTGGTGGTCTTCTTGAGTAAAGAAGAGGAGATAATATTATATAGTAATAGATAGCGTAGATACAGAAGAAGTTGCGTATCAAAAGAAGGAAGAGAAAGAGAAAAGAAGCGAGGATGAAAAGCTACTAATATACTCAAGGAAATCCCAGCGATAACAAATCCAAAATGACTTATACCCTTTAGACCGACAGAACCCGATAGAACTCAATAGAACCTCTCTAACTAATCCAACTCCTTGTAACCCAGTGTATTAACTGATCGATCTATGAGATTAGACCATACTAGAGAAAATGTATGTAAAGAAGTGTAGTAATTGAGCGTGTTATTCCAACTAACTAGAGGGGGGAATGCCCGGTATTTATACTAAAGAAAGATAACTCAAAACATAACGAATCATAGCCGTATAAGTAATAGAAAAACATGACTAATAAATACCAGAGAAAGAATGAGTCAGAACCCGTGACTCATGATGACAAATGAGAATCCTCTAATACTATGAAACGTACCGAGCGTACTATTTCAAGACTTACAACTTTCAGTGTTACTAAGCATTTGATTAGGCTGAATTGTACTCAAATATTGACTCCGACCTACTTGTACCGGGGGTTAAGGGTAAGTACTGAGAACCCCCTTTTGGGGAATTTTTAAAAATGAGGGTTTGGAAAGAACTCTGATTGGGCTGATATGAATTAATGTGACACTTGGCAGCCAAGCAAGTATTTGAGGTAGCCCGTTGCCAGCTTTTGCAACGCAACCTCCATCACCTCAATTTGACTCCGGTTCAATCACAATTTCATCAAATAACAACCCTCAACAGAGTCTGGTGGTCTGAAATGATATGCAGATGATGCGGTAGGGAGGGGAGATACTACTGGTTTTTTGTTTGTATTTTTAACGATTAAATTCGATTTTTTAAGTGAAAATATATGAGAATGTCTCGGTATTTTTTTCCCACATAAGTCTCAGTAAAAATCATCCTGCACCATTGGTTGCTTTAGTTGCTACCCATGGCATTGACACAAAAATCAACCAATGAAAAAAATGGACATGGGGGTGTCTCCGTACTTTACGTGCACACCCGGTACTAACTTTCATGAGTCCTGAATGCACGAGTTTTTATTGGCACGTTTACAGGTGCTTATCTGATCTGATATGATGCGTGCTTGTTCATTAGATATCGATCTCTACTGTAATGATTTCTTGTAAGATTTAGTTTGTAACAGTACATGTGCATAGCTTCGTTCATAGATAGTGCCAATAAAGCCACGTTCACGGGAACTATGGAATGAGAATATCCCTACTTTACATCGATAAAGATACATAATGCTATCCTTCCCAAAGTTTCATTGTGCATGTAAATTATTCCTTCACCGCGAACTCCTAGTGCCAACCTCACAACCAGACAACTATCAAAGGAAATACTAAAATTTATAAGATCTCCGTGAGAACCAACCAGGCGCTGCCTTCCCACGCGCCTACTCAGGTCTCCTCATGTTATAGATTGGTCCTCCCATTTGAATAAGTTATGTCCACAAAATCGGGCGTCCCCAATCTCCTCAGAGGTTCTATGCTCTCCGAGCCTTCAATAGCTACATGTAAGCTTTCATCCCGTGAGGTTTGGCTGCTGCTCGGTTGCACTCAAATGTACCTATATATGGACATGCAAGGCTATGACATGCAGGTTTGATAAAAGAACAGACGACTTACATACAAGCCAAATGGGTGAGTACTTCCGCCCACAGTATCTCCTCTGCCTCTCTAAGCTCAAGAATCTCAGCGATAGGTTTTCTTACGAAGTAAATGTGAGAAACTCTCAATTCGGCCTGGTATACTAAAATGATCAAGCCACTGAAGCGTGTTAATTCTACATACCAATACGCGTTGTCAAAGAGACATGTTAAGGCTCGTTGGGACCGGCGGCGGCCCACTAGTGAATCTACTTATCTCTCAGCCCGGACGCTTCCCATGCAGAGATTTCTAGTTCAGCTATGTATGAGCGAGAATCACATGCAAAAATCCTTACCCCGCCATTCCTGCGACCCCGCCAATGGCCAATACCCTATCGATTTGTACCTACTCTACAAAACGTGTGCTTTTGATACTGATCTCCCGCGCATAATCGTGCTCGTGTGGAATCGACCGCCCCACGTACCTCCTCCACCACCACCGTGACGCCTCCAACCCCAGAAACCGGCACGATGCTCCTTTGAATAGTTAGCCCTGAGGAAAACTTTTTCAAAGGACCCAGACTCTCTGCGTCGAAAAGGTACGAAGCGGGGTAGTCTCCAAAGACAGCTATGTTTCGGAAGCTCCTTCCAAGATATATCTCCAACAACGTCATCTCTCACGATATTGAATCCCGTGTTCATTTCGATCATGGTCATAACTACGAATCTGATCCCGCCCCGAAAGACATCTCCTGTATGTACTCGATTCCTGACAAGAATGTAGGTCTCACAAATCCAGTCATTACCCGCTCATTGTGCCAGCCCCGATATTGTGGCACTGAAGTCCTCGACGGTAAATGCCAGCCAGTCACGGCAGACGTGCCAGAGTACGTATGTAGGGACGAGATATTTCACAAGCCGAACCGCCTTGCGTGACCGTGTTGGCGCGCCGGTAGCAGTCTTGCTGTCTGTCCGCATCTTGATCTTGTCTTGATATAGGCTCACATTTCTGCTATATAGAATTAGTCATGAAGCACAGGACATGCACCTCCATGTAGTGCGGAAGACCGAAAATCAAGGACGCAGCACTAGCAAGGAGCATGTAGTGTCATATTCCGGCGAAATCTTCTCTAGCACAGCAAAAAGCCTAAGGCCCTTCCCGGTATACTATTATGGCCACTCAACCATACTCGAGAATTCTAATCATGAGATATCACTCGGTACCACAGCCTGGGATGATTATTGATTGATCAATTGAGATGGCTAAGTGACTTGATTCATTAGTAGAAAAAAGGGTCTAAATAGCTATCTAATCACTGACCGTACAGGTTTCATCATGGTAGTAACAGATCACCTGTTGATATTCGACATCATTCAAAAAGCCAAATATCAAATAACAATTGTCGATTTCATGGCTTCCGAGTCTTAAGAACGTCCTCACGTACTTGGCTATAGATTTTGACATGACAGAAGGTTCTCACGGGCTTCTCGTCCACAATGGGTCATGTTTATATAAAACTCATTTATGGCTCTATTTCACTCCCGCCTCTTTAAAAAATCATTTACACCAAAATTGCATCTTTCCCATCTCCTGCGCCAGCAAATAAGATACTGCATGAAACACGGGCACCACTAGTTTCGGGATGATCTTTCGCAAGTTTTGCCCCGCCGCTACCCCCACTATCCCACTACCCCCACTATCCCACTACCCCCACCACCACCACCACCACACGCCGTCCTTCCTCCCCTCAATTGACACCAACCTCCAACCTCCAACCTCCAACCCCACCCCACCAAACCCCACCAAACCCCACCAAACCACAAACCCCCCCATCCGAATAACCATCCCCACCCTGTCCACACTACCTCCCACGTCCTCCCCCTTGACTCTTGGGAGCTCTTCAAGCTGACATGCCTACTGACATGCCTACGGACTTCTAGAGCTCGATAAACTCACTTCAATATCCATTTAAGCCACGAGAAGCGACATGTAACCAATTGCCCCTACGCACCAATGTCTACTCTAACTAGTGGTCAAACCAAGGCTTTACAATCCAGACACCAGCACAAGCTTCACATCGACAATTCTAGAACCCGTTTTACCATGGCCTCTATAACCAAATTCACAGTCCAGCATTCAACATTCGACGACATCTCGCAACCACGAGCCCAGAAGCTCAAACGTTTCTTTTGCAATCGATCGTCATGACTTCATTAAAACCACCAGCAAAACAAAGGACTTTTATCTTTTCATGACATCATCATCAATCATAACGCTCACACAAAGAACAGAAACCACACACAAAACCTCACAAAGAGACACAAAAAGAAAGAAAAAAAGAAAAAAAGCCCCACCAAAAAGAGAAAATAAAAATAGCGGATATCATAACCCAACCCCACCCACCCTCTCGCCACAAAGGAAACCAAGCACCCTATATAAAAAAAAAAACGAAAAACGAAAGATGGAAGAAGAAGAACTACAACAGCTACTCGACCGAACAACACCGATAGAAAAAGTCCTCATCCACGCCCCTCCACTCGTTCAGCTTCACCATGGTCCCCGCGTTCCCCGCGTTCCCCGCTTCACCTATAGAAGCCACCGGGGCCCTCCCTCCGCCCACCACCATGATGACTCCTCCTGCCACCGTCGCTGCCGGGCGCGGGCGCCGCCGCCGCGCCCCCGGTAGATGTCCGTCGCACATCGCGCTCGAACTCATCCTGGTAAGCGTACTCGGCGACGCGACGATCATCTCTCTCCCTATCACGGTCTCGTGGGCGGTAGTCCTCCTCGAAGCTGCCGCGAGAGAGAGGTTAGCTTGGGATACGTACTGGGAGGAGGAGGAGGAGGAGGGAGATGGGGGTACAAACTCATCCGGGTACGATTCGTCGTATTGTCTGCTGCGCGCGTTCTGCGCCTCGAAGCGCCTCATTGCCTCCCGCTGCTCGCGCGCGACTTCCTCGGCCCTCTTGCTGCCGCCTGCGGGCGGTGGTGCAGGTGCATCGAGCGGTGGGCCGTCGCCGCTGCCAGGCGTGCGGGCGGAGATGCCGGAGGACCCCGACCAGTCGCCTTCGTCAGGGCTTGGGGATCTCTCTCCGCGCCTGTGGCGGGACTGGTGGCGGGACTGATGCCGGCGATGGCGGTATTCGGAGCGGTCACGCTGGCGTGAGGGGCGTGACTTCTCGGCGCTGTCGACGCTGGGGTGGTGTCCGTGGGATGTGTGGGGGCGGGTTGGCGGTGCCGCGCGGGCCTCCTCGCCGAGGATGGGGCGGGGGTTGAGTTCAGACTCGCGCCAGTGTGGGTCGGGCTTGCGGGGGGTCTTGGACTTGCTCTTGGGCGGGCCGTGGCGGCGGTCGTCCTCGTCGTCGTCCGGAGGATAGGACATGGGCATGGTCATGGGGATCTTCTTGCCGCCGCCGCCTCTGTGGGGCGGGCCCGGGGGCACAAACGGGCCCTCCATGGCCTCGGGGGGCGTCATCTGCTCTCGCGGCGGATAGCGGTGGTGGCCTCCTCCTGGCGCGGGCAGGGCAAGGGTCTCGTCCTCCGAGTCTTCGCTGTAGTCGCGCGGGAACTCCTCCCACACCCTCCACCAGCCATCGGAGATGATGGCGTCCTCCTTGTCCGGGAAGCACCGTCTGGGGATCGACTTTGGGAACGGATGGCCGGTCTTGGGGTTGATCACCTGCCAGTTTGCAACCACCTTCTGCAGACGCTGCGACTCGCGGTTGGGGTCGGACATCAGCTGCGTAAACATCCAGGTCTCGAACCCGCGCGGGGTGAGTGCCGGGATGCACGGCTTCTGGTCCGACGCAGGGGGCATGTAGAAGTGCTCGCAGTTGAGCGCGCGGTAGATTGACGACAGCGAGGCCAGGGTGCGGCCGGTGAAGAAGAGCTTCCAGTCGAGGGGCTCCTTCTCGACGGCGTTGGAGGTGTAGAAGTCGACCATCTTCTCGGGCGTGATGACGATGCTCTCCTTGACCGGGCGCTCCTTGATCTGTGCACTGTTAGATGATGTACATGCGCATATATGCTGGTGATATCAGGTGCGATGTAGGGAATAAAGATTAATACCATGTAGTTTGCAGTCTCCCTCAGCAGGGTGACCAGCTTTTCCTTTGGCCGAGGCTCCCTCCCAGGCTCTTTGTCGACAAGGTCTCCCCACAACTCGTAGAAGATGGCCCCGTCGTCCATGCCCATCTTTGGCTTCCCTGACGCCGTGGAGGACGTCGATGTCCCTGGTGTTGGCCCGTATACAGACGATGTTGCATTCGACTTTGACTGTCTGTGTGACGGTTTCCTGCCCAGATTCTCATCCCTCAGAGCCATAGCTGGCGGTCCCTTTGGCGACATGTGCGGCGGCCCCGAGGCCCCGATTGGCGCCGGCTGCGGCGGGAAGTAGCTGGCCTGGCCCGGCGGCGCCCCGTACTGCTGGCCGTGGCTCATCTTCTGGCCGTGGTGCGGCGGCGGCGGGCCAGGCGCGGGCGCCGTCTCCTGGCCCCCCGGGCCGTGTGCCGAGGAGCCATAGCCAGGGAAGGGCCCTGGCACCGGCGGCATGCCGTAGTGTTGTGGCTGGTGCGGCCCGTGACCGCCGTGACCGCCCTGTGGCTGTGGTGGCGGCGGGGCAGGGATTGTCGCGACAGCGGGGGAGCCTTGGCGCTGCTGCTGCTGGCCGTGGGGGGCGACCGGCTGCGTGAGCAACGGGGCTGCGCCCGCCGGTGCAACTCCTCCTCCTCCTCCCCCGCCTGCTCCTCCTCCTCCTCCTCCTCCTGGTCCTCCTGCTTGTCCGAGCTGGATGCTGCGCATGAGATCCTCTGCCAGGCGCTGCACGACATCAGGGGGGAGGCCGTGCGTGTTTGCGATTATGTGGGGCAGGTCTGGAGAGTATCCCCCCGCTGAAACAGGAGGGCCGTAGTCGGAGCGGGGTGGAGGCTGCGACTGCTGGGAGGGCGAGAAATCGTGACGGTCAGGACGGTTCCCTCCCTGCTGGGTCCGATACGGGCCCTGCGACGACTGGGGTGGTCCCGAGGCCTGCGGGGGGTGGGATGGGGGCTGGCCGTAGTACCCACCGCCTGGAGCTGTGTTTGACGGGGGGGCATACCCGCCAGAGCTGTACGGGGCTGCCGTGTGTGAGCGGATGGGGGGAGGCTGCTGCTGGGGCGGCGAGTTTGAGTAGTTTGATACTGGCGAGGCGGCCGTATTTGGGGCGTACCCGTGGTGCTGCGGGGGGCCCTGGGAAGAATAGAACGGGGACTGCGAGGGCTGTCCTCCACTCCCTCCACCCCCTCCCCCGCCGCCCCCTCCTCCTCCTCCCCCGCTGTCTCTGCCCCCGCCGCTGTAGTAGTGTCCGTGGGCGGACATGAGGTATGCGTAGATTGCGTCGTCTGTGGTTGTCTGCTGCGATGCTGCGATGGCGGGCAAGTGCTGCTGCTCGTAGTTCTGGTGGTGTGGTGGAGTCTCTTGCTCGGGGATGCCGCTGTCACTGGCGACTGAAGTGGAGCGGGGAAGCAACAGCGCGGATGGCGTCCGAGTGCTAAAGTACCCGGGTGTGCTGAACAATACTGCGGGGGGGGGTATTGTCTGTTAGCTGGCTGGTGCTGCACTGAGGGTTTTAATTGTATGTGTGTGAGTGTGTGTGTGTGCGCGTGTCTGTATGTGTGTCTGTAGGATAGCTATCTATCTATCTGGGTGTGTGTGTGTGTGTGGGGTGTTTGCTTTGGTTTGTTTATTTATTGCTTTCCTTCACCTCCCGGTGAGGGAAAGGGCAAACGTACAGGGAAAAAACAACAAAACAGGAAAAGTGCTGTGTGTGTGCATGTGTGCAGTGTGTGTGTAGGAGATAGAGTAGTAGATAGATGGATGGATGGAGCATAGATAGCTACTCTGCAGTACCGGTACCGTAGAGTAGATTGGAAATAAAATAGATGGATTGCAAAACTCACCAAACCTTTTTGTTTTACCCCTCCACTTTCTGTTCTTCTTCTTTGACGCTTCGAACGAGCAAGGGCACAGACAGCTAGATCGATCACTTTCGAACTTTACTTCTTTCTCCAAGAAAAATAAAGGAAGTGACAAGACTAGAAAGAGGGAAGCGAAGAGCAAGAGAAGAGCAAGATGGAAAGAAGAAGCAGAAGAAGAGAAGATGCAAGCAAACGGGGAAGGGAAAAGCTACCGTCCAAGTAATGCTGTAACTAGCCACCGCTACCTGCTACTACACAACCTCTCACTCTCTACACCTTTCTACCTCTCACAGCCCCCACCTGCTCTCCCACCTCTCGCGCCCAAACCAAACAGCAGACCCGACACGACCCCTCACCTCACATCCCTCTCCCTGTCAGTGGTAATGTCCTTTAGACTCACACTTGCACTCACTCACACTTATTTTTTTTTCCTTCTTTTCCCTTCCTATCGTTCCCATCCATGCACTGCAGCAGCGTGACGTGGATAGCTTGTTCCCTCTTCCCTCTTGCTCTTCTGGCTCTTCTGGCTCTTCTGGCTCTTCTGGCTCTTCTGGCTCTTCTGGCTCTTGCTCTACCACCAAACGGAAGCACCAGCGCCCGGCTGAAACCCACAAGTAGAGTAGGTAGAGTAGGTAGGGTCTGGGGGCCACAAATAGAAATAAAACATAGGCAGGTTCCTTCTGCCTATTGACTGGAGCAGAGCCGCATTCTCTCCGCGCGTGTGTGGGGGAGATGGAGAATGGATGCTATGCCCTTTCCCTCTTTCGCTGTCGCCCAGCTTCCAGTCACAGCCCAGCGACAGCCAGCAAGCCAGCAAGCCAGGCAGGGAACCGCGGCCAACCAACAGATCCCAAGCCAAACCCGCACTAACCCGCTCCACGCCAGATCCACGCTGCATGAGAACAAGATAAAAAAAATAAAATGAAAAACTCAACACACCAGGCGGGAGGCACCACCACCACCACCACCCAGAGGAGGTGCGTGGCAGCCAGAGACAGACAGGACGTCATTGTCGGTCTCTGCACGCTAATTGTTGCTTTTTCATGTTGGCGATTTCATATTTCTGTCTCTGTCTGTGTCTGTGGCTTTTGTGGTTGTGGAATAGGGTTGTTAATATTGTGGGTCTCTCGCACTCGCTACAGGCTACTCTATTCCCTCTCGCCCCCTCCTAGCTGCGTGTTTTACCCGCGCCCTCACAGCCACGGTAGGCGGTAGACGCATCTCTGCGGCATCATCACGCTCATCGCCTAGCTGGGTACATCTGGGTATGACTGTGACTGCCTGCCTGCCTCCTGCTTTCGGTAAATACATGTAGGTACTCTACTCTACTTTACTCCAAACAGCCACTCGAGCGAGCAGTGGGCGATCCCGGCCAGCCAGGGCAGAGGGTTGGTGGTCATGCGGCATCACTCGAGCGGGCCTTAGTCAGTCGGTTGCATGATCTGTGACAATGGCTGTGTCTGTGTCTGTGTCTGCCTGTGTCCGTCGGTGTCTGGTTCCAGTCTGTTCTGTCCACTTGCCGCCCCTTGCAGTGTTTCGTTTCTCAGCCCTAGCGCCGTGTTTGTAGGTGGTGCAAATGACTATTGCTATTAGGCCCAAAGACAACGCCAGTGTAATGTGATATGGAACGCGATGAAAGGGAAAAAAGAGCAGCCAAATAGAAAATTGCTCATCCCATACAAGTTAGATGCTGATGAGGAAACCATCCGACTGCGGTGAAAGTGTTTCTGTTGAACTCTGGCGGCCCGTTTGATGAGAAAAGAAAGAAAAAAAACCCCAGAGAACAGCAGAGATGCCGCTGGAAAACCATCAGCGAGTCGGGTCCCTGTAGTGCACTCAGCGACCTATCTACATATATCCCTCTCACAGCATACTCTACGTGCATACCTTCGTTGCGAAAAATTAAAAACCAAAAACCAAAAAACCAAAGAGAACCTTGCAAGGCACCGAGCTGTCCACTCCCCCCGCGACGCAGTGCACCCCGCATCGAAGGCATAAACTCGCCAGATTCCCCCTCCCCACCGACGAGTGGGGTGCGTGCCTCACATTCCCAACCACGCTTCTACTGGCGGGGACACGATCCAATGGGAACGTGACCTTGTGAACGCCGGAGAATTCCAGCTGCACGTCAGCCGACAGGTGTCGATCAAAGTGTCGTGCGGTCCTATCAGGTGTATGGGGGGAATACGGTGATTGAGTCGTCGTGGGCGATCTTCGGTGGGAGTGGTGCCTGTGGATGCGTGGATGGATGTGCGGTGTGGAGAGTGGGCGAGTGATGGCCTGTGAAGTGATTGGGTGAGCTTCATCTTGTAAGCTTCCATCATTGCGGTGGTTACGGGCCATCGTACGTACGGCTTTTTTTTTTTTTTTTTTTTCATCACACGGCCCGCCCTCAGCGTTTGACATCTATCGTCCGTCGTGTGTGATGCTCAGATTTCGTTTTGCATTCCGATCGATGTCGTTGAATTCTGCGATATCGATATCGATGTACTTCTGTGCCCACATGCATCAACCCTTAGAAATACCGAGAAGAGTGATAAATATTATATCAGACCTCCGATGTTCTGCGTCGCAAGATGAGCAGCACACGGCCACAGATGCGAAAAGACGCCGTTATGTTGTACCAGTACGTCCAGAACTAGTAGAAACGCACGAACCAGCCCGGTAAGGCCACCAGACACCGGCTTCCCCTAGAGCAGACGTCCAAGATCATCACATGGCGGGTCACCTTTCAAAAAACCTTGTGCCCTGCCTTGTCCCTACTATCCTGCCGTGCACCATCCTGCGGCTTGGGGGTAGCATAAAATCAGGGTTAGGGTTTCAGAACTGCTGTCATCGTACATATGCATCTTGGACAGGTGGACTTCAGGTTTCACCAGCAGGGGATTTTTGGAATAACTATGCAGTTTCGGAACCGAGGTTAAACTGCAGCGAGGGATAGGTCGGTGGCTCATGTAGTGAGCAAGTAGATGCCCACTGTGGAAGAGCTGATGGTATGAACAAAGCGCCATGGCAGCAACGCACATGTACAAGGCATAAAGAAGAAAAGAAAGAACTGGTTCCTTTTATACGCAAGATAAAGATACAGAACACGTATCGTGTGGACAACAGGAAAGCTTTAAAGACAAGTTTAATTTCCAAGTTATTCATTCGAATTCTCATATATCAAGCCAGGAAGAAGAAAAGGCAAAGAGGACAAAGAGGAAGAATACATGTAAGGAACCAAGTAGCACGGAGCGCAAAGAACCACAGAAACAGGGGCGATGTGGCAGTTTACTTCTACCTCGGGTTCACTTTAATTTGGTGGGGTTGGTTTTGATACTTTAATAGAGCTACTATCGCTGACACGATTATTAGAGCGTATTTACTAAGTGTCATTTTTGACAATTGACACTTCCCCTCCATAGGGATATGAAATGCGCAAGCTGCAAAATGGCACTTGTGGATGCCGCTTTGGAGAGTGGCGAAGCGCCAATTGTCAGAATTGACGGTTAGTAAATACGCTCTATTGAATTATATATATACAAACATAAAATTACTAATACAAAAGCATTAAAAAACCCTAACCCACCAAAGAATGCCCCAACCGTAGCTTCGCGGTTCCCGCTTAAAAAAAGTTTTAAGTGGGGAAACCGGTATTAAGCCATGTTCCTGATTCAAAGGAGAATCAGGTGAACAGAGGGCCACAAGAAAAATTGTTGCAGCTGAGTTCTTACTCTGACAGACAGGAGAAAAAAGATTCTCCTGCTTGCCAGAGCAAGAACACAAATGCATACAACTATGATTTATGAAGGGGAGGGGGGAAGAGATCCTATATATACATGTAGTAAGAGGAAGACCGTGCCAAGGATAAAGATTGACCGCTCTTAAAGGAAGGGTAAGAGCAAATGCCAGGTTGTAATAAGATTAGCATAGATAAGATGGGGCAGTGAATGTCAAATGCCAAGTGCCTTACCTGGTGCTTCAATCACGGCCACGGTCTATGCCACATGAGTGACTGCATCAAGGCCATAAGCTGAGAATGGCGGTTGTTGGTCTGAACTGAGCTTTCGTGGACGTGGCAGTGCCATTGACAGCTTTCTCAACCATCCTGTCTCTAGACTCCTTTATCGTTACAATACTGAAGGGTCCCGTGTTTGATTTCCCGTAGTTTCCGCAGCCACCATTGGAGAGCGCCACGGAGGCCTCAGTGGCACGCATTTTGGTTAGCGCTATAGCTTTCCGAGTGATTTGATATGATGCATCCGACTAAATTTCCCTGGCGGTAACCGTAACCCGCGCGTACACAATGCATGAGTCCCAACAGCGAGCTTCTCTCACGGCCTTTGGGGGAGCTACATTGTAAAACACAGCAATTGCGATGGTGAATTCTCCTACTACGCCGTAATTTAATTAACAGCTAGCATGCATGTGTTACACCGTCCATGCTAATGTGTACCGGTACCACGGATACCTCAGCTGTCGGCAGATGGTGAGAGACCCTTGATTTGCGTGGGGGTTAAGAATGTGACTTTGATAATGAGTTACCTGGTTTTCATAATCTGAGTCGATCTCTCACCAACCGTTTGTTTCCAACCACCACGGTTTTGGGGGGTTTCCCACAAGGCAAGCTCGACATGCATGCATTGATGCCTTGGGCAACTCAAGGGGTAGTAGACGAATGGAATAAAAGACCAATTGATATACAATTGATTATTCTGCATATATATACATATGTCTCGTCTTAAAATCAACAATTTTTTGATGGGGATTTCGATGGTTCCAGGATCAGGACCAGAAATCAGAATAATTTAGTGTGGTCCGTGATCGGGCCGAGCTGGCTTGAGCTTGAGTCTCGAGCTTTGGACCCATCCAGAATGGGCCTTAGCTTCAACGAGCACGATCTAGATAATGAAGATATTTATTCTCGAGTACATGACGACTATTGGTTAGAAGAATCCGGACCATGAGATCTTGTGCTTGAAAATAGTTATCTCAGCTGCGTTTTCATTAATATGGCTGTTGTTTACTTGTGACAACTCGAACAACACTTGGCAGAGAATATCGTGCATCTTTGATCATTGACCACCGGCGTTAGCCATTCGGCGAGCTAGCTTATTTCGAGGGCTCGGGCCCTATGAGCCTCGGTTGCGAGGGGTCTGGGACGGCTTGGGTTCAGGCCGCCAATGGATACCGAAAACCTCAAGTCACTGCAGTCACGTGTATGGTCACCGAATCTCACACATAGAATATTGGTCTGAAAGCTGTATTCTTATTCAACTAGTGCTGCCTATAGATTGCCGATACAAACGAGAAAAAACGACAAAAGAAAGTGTAAAATCCTACGTTATATTAATATCCCCGTCGATCAACCACTTATAATTATACTAATAAAAAGAGATGCCTTCTCGTGAATGAAGGTGAATATGGCTAGTGCCAAACAGAGCAACAAAAGAACTTGAACGTCTTGCCCGTCCAAAGAGAAGGAGTGGAGGTAGAGGTAACAGTGCAGAAACATTAAGGTGTACCGTGTAGGTACCCAACGTCAGAAACCCCCATAGACAGAGGAACAGAAGCCAACATCCTCCCACAGATCCAGATATCAAAGCGAAATCCATCATCTCCTCCTCCTTGAATTGCCCCTCGGACCACGCATATCCTCGACCGGCGCATTCACATATCCCCTCGTTCCGCCGCGCTCCTCCCGATACCTTGTAGGTTCCCGATCCTCCACATACTCATGCGAATCACGATGGTGGGAGCGTCGTCGATCGTGATGACGTCGTGGTGGGGACTCAGGTGTTCTTTCCAGCTCGCGCATCTGCTCTTTATTTGGAATCACTACTGAGGTAGTGAGTTCGTGGTCCTCCTTCCACCTCACTGACTTCGCAGGCCGAGGGGCCCACACGAAAAATACCAGGGGCCGAGGTGCGGGATGATGAGTGCCCCTAGAACTTGAAGCATGTCGGGATTGACGGACAGGTTCTTCGTGTCTAGTCGCCATGTCTGGGTGGTCCATGACGCTCTCGGTAGTGGGTGAACGGTAGCCACTTCCATGGTGGCGGGGCAATTGGGTGCTGCTGCTTGGAGTGGCAGCTCCAGAGCGAGCGTAATAATACGTGGAGGTGGGCATCTTCATGATTTGTTCTTGGCTTGGAGGTTAGCTATTGTTCGTAGTGATTTGGTTTCTTGCCTTGTTGGCTTTGATTGTCTCCTTTTGAGTAGGAACAAATGCAGATATAGGGCCAAGGTGAGAAGTTAAGAAAATCAGATAATGAGAACGTATGAGAATAAAAGAGAGAGCTGAGAGACGGTAAGATAAGGTTATATGAACTATCTGGGGGAGAAGCGTTTTATATGACGGCGGATTGCTTTTTTCTTCTTCTCGCAAGGCGGTGCTCCCTGGGTAGGCGTCCGATGCTTGATTCTGTTTCTGAACGTGTGAGTATGTTGGCTGCTGAGATTTACTGAAAGCCCTGGGAGCAGCATATTTAAAGGACTCGCTGCTATCGCTAGAGCTGGCCTGATGATGCTATCCATTGGTCGTTTTTGAACGGATTTACTATTCGTTGTGAGAATAAGCGCATGAATAGTATTGTAGAAGGTTCTGATAAGAGGCATGCATAAAACATAATGAAGGCCATATTTCGGGGTGTAGAAGTAATAGAATGTAAGGGTAATCTAACGGTGGCCAATGGGTGTAAACTTTCCATTCAAGTGGGAATTAAGGGGACCCGCACATGGTATTACGAAGGAGGCAAATGCAGGTTATATAGAACGTTCTCAAATTCAAAACTCGTTAATACTATCCATGTCGAGTCCATATTCACGAGTGCTGTCAGAAGTCTTTAAATTTGGGTGACGGTGCTATTCAATTTAGAAGTTCGACCACAAGTCTTGTTCCACCTATAATTCTTTCGCTTGAGCAATTCACATGTTTACTAAGTAGAATTTTTCACAAGATACGCACACACACCCTACTACTAGCGAAAGCTGGGAAGAACCGCTGATTTGACACTGAAACCATTCGGTCCTAGTTTTTTCACCTGCAGGTACCTTATTTTACCCATCTACGTAGTAAACAGTATGTAGTAAATGTGATTTGGCGAAGCATGATCGCGATCGTAACTCTAATCTTCTATCTTTTAGAGTTCCGAAAAGTAGTCAATTCTATAAGTAAGGCGAACTTTCATATGCCGCCTATACCAAGACCGCGCGTTTGATCATTCGCACAACGAAGATATTCTAACGTAGACTATATTTTGATCAGCCACATAGTAGTAATTATGAAATTATGAATGCGTCGTTCCTTGTACGCTTGTCTCCTTTATGAGTTCAATCGCTTGTAGCGTAGCTATATAGATACTAAGTTCTATCAAAAAGAATTGCAAAAGAAAGAATAGGACTAATGATAAGTACTTGAGAGAGTAGAGCGAGAGTGACAATCCATGATTCAATTTAAACCTACCGCTAAATCTCGAGTTATTCGGGGGGGTTGCCAAGGCAAAAAGCTGAGGATCTTCACCTTTAGAGGAAGCGATCTTCAAGAAAAAAGCCCTCTTTTACAGGATCTAAATTAAATGTAGTTTAGCAGGTGGCCTTGGCAACCCCCCAAATAACTCGAGATTTCGCGGTAACCCTATCTTGGCACACGCAACCTAACCCATACAGGTGTGACGTCAGGCTGGAATGTTGTTTCCAGTTCTTCTGTTCCGTTGCGTGTCTTCAACCGTGCCTTGGACTGACTGATTCGCTCAGCGCCCCAGAGCCAAACAGCTCCTACTCTATCGATTGCTATCATGATCCTTGCTTCCCTACTCTATTTACAAGACAAAGAGCCCGTTCGATAGGGTGGCATGTCTGATCGTCTCTCGCTTTGTTGCCGCTCTTTGCAGATAGGTACCTACTAGGGATAGGCATGCACTCCACAATACAACCAAGAAATGCTAGCTCTGGGTATTGATACTGAAGATTTGGAGCCGTGAAATAGTTTTCTGAGAATCGACCCTTAAAAAAGGCCGTAAACTGTAGTGTCATGCGGCTGAACGCCCCTTTGAACAGACAATCGCATTCGATCGGCCAGCCGCCTGTAGGGTGCATAAAGCTCAAGAACAAGCAAGGCAAAGTTCAAGATCAAGTTGTTACAATTATTTAGGATGTATGTACATGGATCCCTGAGGTAACTGTGACGACCTCTACCAGTGATGTCATGGGCAGCTCTCAATTAATCCCCGGTATCGTATATAGACGGTAGTGGCCCGACTTCTTTGGACAGCTCTCAAGCATCAGAAGAGAGTTGACTGTCACCTCCAATTATCCAACATGACGTCGAATAAGCCTTACTCAGGATCGAATCCTATTCCAAAGGTCTCCGATTTTCTTCGCGAAACCGCCGAAAAGGTTGAGGGCCAGAAGAGTGACGAGAAGGCCCAGATTGCCAGTGAACGCAAAGGGGTAGAGCAGGGTGAAGGGTCACAAGGGAATAGGAGAACTGTAACGGATCCGACAACAGGAAAAGAAGTAGTGATTGAAGATACGAATGAGCGCTTTATCAATGCGGCGAAGAGAAACGACGTGGTGGTTCCAAATGCGAATTTAACAGACAGAAAGGACGTTGGTGATCCTCAGGTTGGCTTCTCTTGGGTTCCTTTTGGCGCTAGTTCTCGTTTTGAGGATAACTAAACAAACTTTCCCAGGCAAAATATTCTTCACCGACTCAATCCCAAGAAGAATACGCAAAGACTCAAGACGTTACAGCGCCCCCCGCACCGATAGCTCCAGGCACAACCAGCGATGTCCCTATCCACGGCGAAAAGACAAACATTCTTTTCCACCCCACCCCCTCGCTATCACTCCAAGGCACCGTCTTTCATGATCTCGAGAAGCGCGCAACAACCCTTTGCGGAATCCTTTTCGTCTCAATCGTTGTTCTCGGGCGTATCTTAACCCAAGGCTCCATAATAGGTCTTCTGATTGTTGCCACGGGCGTTAGCTCATACATCTACTACTGGACCAAAAACCTTGTGGAAGAGTCTGCAAACGTCGACTGGGAGACTGAGAAGCGTCGAGGTCAGACGGCAGTGGCAAACCTAATTCCAGAGTCTGTGGAATGGATGAATGCTCTCATGGGACTTGGGTGGAACCTCGTGAACCCAGAAATGTTCAGTAGTGTAGCAGATTTATTAGAGGATGTTATGCAGGCATCGGTCCCCGGAATAATTGAGAATGTGAGAGTAGCAGATATTTCTCAAGGATCGAACCCGTTGAGGATACTTTCGCTGAGAGCACTGCCTGATGTTGAGGTGGCGGATTTGAAAAGGGCTGCGACGTCTGAAAGGGATGGACAGGACCAACAACAGAGACTGGCCGAGGAGGAAGGCGGAGAAGTGTATAATCTCGAGGCTTCATTTGCGTACCACGCGGCACCAACGGAGGGAAGAGGGGTGAGCAACAAAGCGAAGAATATGCATTTGCAGGTGGAGTTTTATCTGGGTATCAAGGGGCTTTTTGGCGTCCCTCTGCGTATGTAGCCCATTGGAATAGTTTTCTGTGATGTAAGTACTGATGGTTAAACAGCTATTTGGGTCGAGCTCAAGAGTCTTGTTGGAACTGTTCGCTTGCGGCTGCAGTTGACGCCCGATCCTCCGTTTTTAAGGACGCTCACCTTCACTCTCATGGGAACCCCACAAGTCGCTGTATCATGTATACCAATGGTTGAATGGGGTATCAACGTCCTGAACCTTCCGCTTATATCCCAATTCGTCAATGCTTCTATTGCAACTGCTGCGAATGAGTATGTTGCGCCAAAGAGCATGTCTCTCGAGATTGGAAAGATGCTGCTTGGGGATGATGTCAAGAAGGAGGTTGACACGGTTGGTATCTTATGGGTAAGGATTAAAAAGGCCGTGGGATTGAGCAAGCAAGATAAGAGGGGTAGCAGTGATGCCTATATCACTTTGGCCTATAGCAAGGTATGAATCCATAGGCCCAATATCGTAGGTATAAACTGACACATTCTAGTACGAGAAACCGATGTATTCGACACGAGTGATTGTCGATGACCTTAACCCTATCTGGGAGGAAAGCACAGCGTAAGTCATATCCCACTTTTTAAATTAATCTGCTAACATATCGTCAGATTACTTGTGAAAGCCGATCATATCAAAGCAAACGAAGCTCTTTCAGTCGAACTCTGGGATTCAGACAGACGTAAGTCTTTGTTCCATCGACGCCATCAAATAAAAGACTAACACCCCCAAGTCACTGCCGACGACATGGTCGGAAAAGTAGAAATCCCGCTTCATGACCTTCTGCTCAACCCTGGAAGGATGCATGAGCAAGTCTCAACATTGACTGGCGCTGAGTCTGGCACAAGTATGCCCGGCAAACTTTATTGGGAGGTTGGATTTTTCGGCAAGCCGGGCTTCCGTCCTGCACTGAGAACATCCGGGAAGGACGTGAACCTTCCAGATAAACTAAAAGACCGACCGGAGCTCCAGGATGACCAGGGCGTCTTAGAGAACACACTGGAGGACGCTGTGATGCATACACCTCCAGACCCGCTGTTTCCTTCTGGGATTGTATCCCTTGTTGTTCATCAGATTGTCAACCTGGAGATCAGAGATTTGACTGGAAACTATGGTAATAGGAAGAATGGGAAGGAATATTCTCCTGGTATGGAAACTGGGGAGATTAAGCAGGAGGAAGGTGGGAAGCTACCAAGCGCTTACTGCACCATTTCTATCAACGATCAGCTTGTATGCCCTTACTCCTGAACCTTACACATCACCAGCTAACAGTTGATCTAGGTTTACCGCACCCGTAGTAAGGTAGTAAGTAGTAAACCAATTTTCAACGCAGGTACCGAGCGATTTATCCGTGACTGGCGCTCCGCTATTATCACGGTCACAGTTCGCGACCAACGCTACCGTGAACATGACCCTATCCTCGGTGTAGTCCCTCTAAAACTTTCGGATATACTTCAAACAAACTCCGAAGTCACTCGGTGGTTTCCCCTCGATGGTGGTATCGGTTTTGGTCGCATTCGTCTATCTCTCCTATTTAGAAGTGTTGAATTAACCATTCCACGACAACTTACTGGGTGGGACGTTGGTACATTTGAGTTCACCTCTGAAACACTCATTGCAGAGTCGTATCCCACCGCTGCAAAAATCAAACTTCGAACCGGCGGGTCCACTGGCCTGATCCCCCGCAAAAATGGTGTTAAAACGCAAACCGGTACTATTGAGTGGGCTCTAGTCAGAGGAAAGAAGGAGAAGCAACACCGCATCCGTCTCCCTGTCAAGCACAGATATATGTCACCCATCACCTTCGACTTCTACGACTCGTCACACAATCCTACTTCACGAGGCCCAGACGCACATGCTACCCTTTGGCTTGACAAACTGGTTGATAACGACCCAACACCAATTCGTATTCCTATCTTCAAGACTTCCAACTCCCAGAGATTCACGCAGAATCGTATTGAAAGCGTAGAAGATGATCCTAGTATTGACTTGCAGCAAGTCGGAACACTGGTCTTCTCTGGGCGCTTTAAGGCGGGGATGGATGAAGATCACGAAAAGTTTGCCACAGACAATGACTCAAGGGAGACCTTTGAGACTTGGGCAGCTTGCAGGAGTGAGGGAATCAGGGGGACAATAGTACACAAGGAAACCAACCCCATCATCGATGAACTCCATGAACACAGCATTTCCCAGATGCGGGGCGACCTTGCAGACTTTGACAAGGGTCCCAAAGTTGCCGACGAAACAAATCGCCTCACGGATCGTTATGGGAAAGACTGGACTGGTGTTTTTGAAGCTGGGAAAAAGGATTTAGCCCCAGAAAGTCGATATCGTACTACCGATTTCAACGAAAACAACCCCAATCAGCGTGGTGTACAACCATACTCCCCGCTCATCACTAATCGTTCCGACTACTCCGATTCTGATACAGACTCAGACAGCGACTCGGAAGCGGCTTCCGACTCCTCATATCACCACGTCACAACTGTAAGTCCACCTTCAACGGAGGAGGAACCCACAAATTCAGGCTCCATGAATCCTATCAAGTCAATAAGAGCATACCGAGAGAATCAAAGAACCACACATAGGAAGCATAGAGGCTTGATGCAGTGGAAACCGATGAGGAGTATTGCGTTCGCAAAAGATGAGATGAAGTTTGCAGGCAGGAAACTGAAGGCGAAGACTAAACTTACCGGGAGAGAACCCGATGTGGAGACAGAGGTTTAGGATGTGCAACACGAATATCATGGTTTTTTCTTTTTTTTCCCTCCTTTTCTTTCCTTTTTCTTTGAAAAATAATATAAGGATATCCCGGCGAGTCTTCTGTATTTCAAAGAATTATAATATACGCAGTGTGAGCTATCTATGAAAGAAAAAAAAGAAAATAACGGTGCGCAGTAATTATAAGGCAAGAATTTAGGTGCATACTCATGTCTTTCGCTTTGTGTTGTTTCTGGGACGACGTGTAAGTTACTGTTTCGCCAATGTTCGATAAAAGAAAAGGCGGCGGAGATTTATTACAATAATATTTTTTTCCAGACGCTCGGACCACCATGCGGCCCTCCCAAGGATTCGAAGCTTCAGCATTGAGTGATCGAGGGGGATACGTGCCCGCGTACCAGGTCATTGGGCTCCATATATGTACAGGTACATATGTACATACCATACATGCTTAGAGTATTCTGTATATCTACCACGCCGCCTGAGTGCAGTGTTACACGGTCTTTTCTGAAATGTCTACAAAATCCAAATCTATTTATTTCATTCATATGGCTGGATGACTTGACAAATTTGGACGTGCATTTGTAACAAAATCAATGTGAGATAAAGATTTGTCAAGTCTCAGAGTCGGTCACGACAGCTTTTTCCCACTGAATATCAAAAGTCTCATACCCAATAACCAATAAGCATTCGGTGTAACCCATCATATCCTCAAGAATTCTCTGTTTCTGGCTTCTGTGCATAATAGAGATGTCTATCCCGCATCCCCACCAATGTCAGCTCAATAAATCTTTACTTGCCCATAATAAAAATACAAAAAACTCACTGCAACGAATAAGAATGCATCTTCCTATTTGTACTATCCCTCTTCGCCAATCTAATTAACTCTTCCACCTCTTCCAGTGACATGGTCCCATCCCTCGTTAGTGGCGCCAACGCAAACGCTTCAAACGCGTTCTCTGCTGTTAGCAAGAGATATGCACCCATCTCTTTCTGCTTCCGATCTGCTGGCCATGTGCCGTAGGGCAGTTTGTACCGGAGATGATGGATGTTGATGAAGCCTGCATTAGCGATGTGCTGGTCCAGGGAAGATGCTTTCCGGAATTCTCGGCCTAGCAGAGAAATATTAGAAGAGTTTTCCTTATAGACAGGGCGCTAATAAGAGTCTTCAGCACCTCTGGCGGAAGCGGCATCGTTAACGGCTTCGTAATAACGATAAATAGGGGAGGTCACCGGGAGGCTGTTATCGTCGCTGAATAGCCAAAATTCGAACTCCGAAAGATCGAGCCACCCTCCAGGTTTCGTTGCTCTGCATGAAATGATTTAACTAAATGTTCACCTTTTTTAGGGTGCTCTTCGGCTTACTTGTAGGCCTCCTTCAAAAACTTATCCCAATCCGAGATACCCCCGGTCAAATGTCTGATGTGCACGAGATCGAACGTGTTCTCTTCAAATGTCCACTCCATCTCTGCGTCATCAATCTGAAATTGTACGTTTGGTGGTACCCTGTAGTATTGAGGATATGAGAATGGAATCAATCACATGCACAGTTTATGAGCAAGGCTGTGTGGGATCATTCAGGCCTCATACCAGCTAGGTTGAATGGGACTAAGATCGGTCCCAATGACTTGCGCTGTGGGATATCGTCTATTCAATTTCGTTAGAGCCTTTATCCTCCTCTTGTTTTCGAGGAAGCACTTACTCTGCTGCATCGATTGCCCATATCCCGGTGCCTGTTCCTACATCTAGAATCATTGTTGGGTTTGGCGCAATAGGCGCAAGATGGAGTTGATCGTCAAGCATTAACAGATAAATGTGATGAATAGTATCCAATCGATCCTGCTCCGCTTCATCATTCGGGATTGCGTATTTCCTAGAGGACTCAATTCTTAGTCTCACAAGATTATAACTAAATAAGCCGATAAGCCGTGGGACAACCCGGAAAATACCTACCCGTCCTTGTATGCATGATAGCGTCGGCCATTTTCAAATCGATATCTACAGTTATCGTTATGACCTTAGTCCCGCCATTTATTGTAATGGATATGGAAGGAGATATTGTATATATGGGCTGAGTATGAGGTAGTCCTGGGCTACTTACTCATAGATGGAGGACCTCAATGAGTCGTCCGAGTACTCGCCGCCTCTGTTCAAGAACACCCGTCAATTATCTTCCTATCCTCGATACCACCACACTCATAGGCTTGTACCTACCTTACGTAGTGAGAACTACTGTCGCTCCATGAGATCTGGCATAGAATTGAATCAGTCGGAGGTAATGAATAAGGCGTGGATATCAGGCAACTGACAAAAGAAGGGTCAACTTGGATGTCTGAGTTATAATCTGGCAATCCTGTTGCCGGAGTAGTAGGATCCGGGTCGCCTTGTAGTGACATGATACTCTATCTCTGTGGGTTGCAATTGGTGGCTGGATCTGTTGGCGCCGCCACGCTCTACTTGGGATATGCACAGAGTGAGGAGGAGAGAGAGAGATAGAGAGAGAAATTCGAAAAGTGAAGTTGAAGCAGAGTATTTATGGTAGTTTGCGGGGAGGTAGATCTAGGTGGGGGATGAAGTGTACTGCTGTACGCCATGCATGGGGAGTGGAAAGGAACTTTATTTCCTTCAGTGGCTTATAAGTTTTTATCCCTCGGCACCCCGGATCTTGACCCTAGTTATGTAGGTAAGTGGAGGCATTCAAGCTCTTACAGATATCGCCTGTCTAGCTTACGGCAAAGTATGCACACGCCTACAGACCAGGCGACGTCTTCTCTTAAGCTACATTACCAGCTAGATGCTTAGCTACCTAGCTACATGTAGTAGGGTGGCTATAGGTGAATAATACATACCCATTCATACATGTACCTACTCCATGCATGTATGGGTATGGGTCAGATATAGGGTCCCTGTCAATCAACTTGGGTGCAATAACTGTTGCGTCGGTATTATTTTTAGGCGCTCATAACTCACCCCAAGATCTACAATAAGTGACCACTGTCAAACAGGGACACTAAAGTACAGTAGAGTACATACCCGCGTGTTTCTCCACAGGGATCGCTTGCCTTAAACACATTGACAAGGTGAGTGATCAGTACACAACTACATATAGTTAAATGAGTCTACGGAACACTTGCCTAGAGTAAATTATTCTGATTACAACTGGTTCGCACTCGCACATATATGCATGGACTAGTTTTTGATATCCAGGTTGATTGATTGGGCCATGGGACCACCGAGTTGAGATTAGTTCCGTTTAATCTAAGCATTGTACCTACATCTAATCCGGGAACTTTCACTCAACCCCGAATCAAGATCCTTCACGTACCTAGAAATGTGTTACTGAAGTCTTCTTTTCCTTACATCACCAGTACTAACTCCACGCTCATATTCTCCTCTGCCTCCCACCCACACACGCACTCACTCTCACTCACTCTCTCACTCACTCTCTCCCTCTTGGCTGGCAGAAATCGTTCACCTGCTAAGCCTTTTAAAGAACAAGGCACGTGGACACATTCAAATCCATTTTGAGGGGTGGCTGTCCGGGCCATAGATGACAACTCAGGTATATTGGTCGGATTATACATGTAGTTAAAGATAAGCCGTGAGATTGAAATTAGCCAGCCTTGCAGCTTGGACCAGGTCTTCGATATACAACCTTTTGCCTGGGACCTTTATGGAAGATGGATGTATGTACTTCTGCTTGTAGAGAGTACTTGGGGAATCTGGAGTAGGATATTTAGTCAATCTTACGCTCGCTTGAGTGAATTGTTTTACCTGAAGAGTTTACTGGTTTGCAAATTTGATCAATTGATAGGATCGGCGATGATCATGGCTTGCAGGGCGCCTTGTATGTAGGCAGGTCAAGGTGGTTAACCGGTCGGTTGTCTCGGAGACGCATTAAAAGTGGATCCGGTATCCTGGAGCGTGGGTCCATAGTAGCGACTTGCCTAGCCATCCAACGACGAAATTTGTTTAAACCCTGAGTAGATAACCAGTTTTCTAATTAGTTATTTCTTTTTCAGAAAAATGAGATTCAAGCGAGCTAGAAACGAGCTCCTCCATCGTAAGCATCCGGAGTGCTATTATGATTTTTTCCAATTAAGTGCCTGCATTGTTTTTGTTTTTCTTTCCTTTCCTTTTCCTTCAATGTTGGGACTTCATGAGACCCGGTATAGGGGAAAAAAGGAAAGGTAGTTTAAGATGGCTAGGATCCAGCTACCCAGATTTAAGTCCCTTGGGGATCTGAGAAGCATACATGTACTCTACTGGGCTGATGACCCATCGTTCCAATTCAATTTCTCATAGCCGGAAATCTGTATTGGCTCCAGCGAATGTATTTATTGTGCGGCGAGATCGGTTATTCAAAAAATCGTTTATTTTTTTTTTTAGAAATCAATGTCTCAATATAAGGATCCATAAAGCCACCATGCGAATTGCACCACTCGCCGATACAACAATGTACCGCAGTGGCCTTCACTTTATTGGCCGAAGGCTTCATTCAAAGATTCCGGTCGACTTATTGACGAGAGGAGCAGTCAGGCCTGTACCTATACATTCTCATCCGAAACACATTGCAGTTTGCCCGGCCACTTGGACGCACCATGCAAGAAAGAGATCGAACGGAACCATCATGTCCTACGAAAATCGCCATTGAGAACGGATAATCAATATATGGCTTTCCTTATCTCCCTCCCTTGATTCATCCGAGTCTGATCCTGCAATCCTTCCATAGGATGGGCCATAGGATGGATGATTTCGCGCATGCCCGCTCCTGTATACCATTCATCTGTATGCAATATATGTATGTACGTATGTATGTATGTATGTATGTAGTAGTGATAGCTCGTTCGTGGCTTCCGAACAGGAATAATGCTATGAATATCTGTTTAATCAGAGAAAACTATCAAACCAGGTTAGAAGCGGGGTACTGCATGATGTTTCGAGGTGGCTAGACTAGTTGTTTTCGCGGTACATGAGCTGATTTTTGTTTTTCCAAAAGGCACAGTATGTACTGCGGTTGGGTTTCGTGTGATTTCTTAGGTATCCACACCGATGTCCGTCGGTGTTCCTTTGCTGAGGGCTCCTGAAACAGGGCGTGAAGCAAGGATGGTCAGAGAAGGTATCGGAAGTGATATTTACCTGGGAGAGAACCCAAACCCAAAACCGCCAAGATCTGTAGCACACGATTTGAATATGATCAGCCCGAGGCTGATACCGAATGTCTTATAGACACGCACAAGTACGTATTGTTAACGTGTTAAGACTACTCATGTAAAGCATAACACCCACCTTCGCATGGTGTGGGGGAGGAATGGGGTCTATGGGTAGGTACATGTAGCTTACCAGGTATTATTGTCACATAAGCTCAAAACCGGGTGCTCGTTGCTCACTGATTTCTGGTTCCTGGGTCGGCTCAATGATTACGAATGTTGTCCTTGCTTCGATCTACGGAATCGTCGCTATGACCTAGATACAGCCTTGCCAGATCGTTTGAACCGTCTAACCCTAACCCTGCATACTTTGACTGCCTCATAAGGAATCACTCGCAGATGCCATATTGTAAGACCAAGAGATTTAGTCTTTCTTGCCCAGAAACCTGGTGATGAGTACCCCGCTCAGATGCCTCTGGTGAAATATATGTATGCTTATATGTAGCTATCCCAATCGAGCTTGCGGAATCGCAGCTTACTAGGAGGAGGAGGAGGGGTTAACATCCCAGATCACCATGATACGGTGACTAACGTCTTTTGAAAGTTCGATTTGAAGAATGTAAGATCGGGAGAGGGGTGACTCCATTGGTAAAGGTGACCTTGGAAGTGCAGTAAATGCGTGTCTTTGATGTGTTACGTTATGGGAACTGCGCGGTAAAGACGACTGCCTACATGTACCTACACACATGAGGTCAACTACAGACACCACGCTGCAGCTAGCTTAGTACAAAGAGTACCCGCTAAAGCGCTAGAAACGTCAGCAAAACATTGCTGAAAAACACATGTACATGATTCACGCATATGTATTTCTTTCGTTTCGTATCAAAGCAAAAGGAAGGTTGGCATATTCCGTGCTTGTTACATATCAGCTGTAATCTTACTCACCGCCGAGACGTTTTTGTTTTTGTTTTTTTTCATTGTTGAATTCCCGCTCCTTTTCGGACCATTTGGTCGAAATCGAGTTTATTTTACTATTCCAATTCGTCGTGCCTAGCTTATCGCCCCGCTGCCACGGTGCGGGGGCGGTTTTTTGTACGGTCGTTCATGGTCACTAGGTCACAAATACTACCTGTCAATGACGAACAGGGGAGCCCCGGCCAATAGAAATTAAGAGAAACCGGTGCTCTTACAGCTTGGCTGTTTCTCGCCATAGATGTAATCCTTAGCTACATAGACCCTGCTCCTCAACAGGCCATATTTGTCGAGTGACCATCATGAACGACTGTAGGCATTTCTATGCAGCTCAGGTTAAACACAGAAGTGCTGGACGGAGTTGCTATCCGGGTTGACAATTCCGGCCGTAATATGGATATCGCTCGGGGGTTATCGGTAGTGTTCAATAATCCACTTGCCAGTTGATTACACGCTGCTGCGTACGTAAATGTAAGTTAGGACTCAGTAAAAGAATACTACATGTGTTATCAAACCAGTTATAGGTTATCGTACCATGTATATACCAGTTGACTACCCAATAGACCGTCCAATCTTGACGCCACGTTCTATTTAGCTTTTCAAGACAGAATTCGAACACCGCTCAAGGCTAATAGTTTTGCCGATACTTTCCACCAACTATGGGCGTATGTATGTAAATAGCTATAGCCTCAGCCTATAGCTACGGTACTATGGTTGGTGTCGATGGGAAGAAAGCTAGCTAACTCAGTGACCATGGCTAGACATCGCATGCTGCACAATGGATCCAGAGAATTAATAGACGCTACAAACGAGATAAGATCGAGAATGGACACACGTACCTAGCACACGTTCACTGTTTTAAACTAGATCCAATACTTGTTTTGACTTTCCGAGAGACACTGTACGCACACCAGCACGTACAGAGCTAGAGCTTAAGTATATATCTCCCCTAACCCTCGTTGCTACGCCCATCTCTTTGGCGCTCACCAGGCGGTTGGAAGTAACAGTCAATTGATCAAACGCGGGGCTAGTGTCGATCAATTAATGAGCATTCACTCCCATAGGCGTCCCCCCCGCTCCCCCGGGACGTCAGTCATGAGATCATTATCAAAGGCATGCAGTGCGTGTGGAAAATTCTTTATACTCGGGGCAGGCAGGAAGAACCTGAACATCGTTTTTCTGGTAGCAATCACTTTGGCCCCTGCTAGCGTTACATAGAAACCTTGGGTATATGTACATGTATGTATCTTCCAGGTAACTAACTCTCTTAGCTCTCCATCATGGTTCCATGATCCAGTTTACAGCTCTTTAGTGATCATGAGTCGACGCGCCCGCTAAAATTTAAAAATGTATCATGTGTGGACAAGTTATTATTATATTCAACTCTGCCCACTTTGAGAAATAAATTTAGTAAGGTACCATACCTATCGGGCATGCGGACTAACTAAGTCATAGTCGAACTTAGGTGGGTATTTCCAGAAATACCTAGCCCATACGTCCGAAGTTTGTACCTGCATAATGCCGGCGCTTAGTTTTCTTTTCGTGGCCAGATGGGGAGGGGAAATTCTGCAGAAAAAAAAACTCACGTAACGAGAATAGAAAGAAGTACTTATGGCGGCGATGCAGGTACGTTTGACACTTCAGGAAGGCCTATGCTGCTAATTAAGAAGGAAGGACCTGCTGCACGGCCGCGGACTCGCTCGATCAGGAGGTTTCCTATCTTCATGCAGGAGCAGGGAATTGTCCTGGTCATGGAACCCATACTCAAACACGGTTTATATAGGATCTCCCTCTTCGCCTATCTACATGAGGTTCCTTAAGTTTAACCTTCTTATCTGAAGGGGGAGTTTTTCGAATTCAAGGCCTCTGTGAGGTACGATATTCTTTTTTTCTTTTCTTAATTTCTTTCATTTCTTTGGACTTTTTTTATACAAACCCATCACCATGGTGGTTCTAAATTTTGGCGACTGGATTCGTCGGTCTCTTCTTTTAATCTTCGTTTTGCTTCAGATCGCTAGAGCATCTACCCTAATAACACTCGTTAAGGCCACCTGCCTTCAGCGATGCTTCATCTCAACATGCCCAGATCTCGATGCGGACTGTGTCTGCAAGTCACTACGAGATGCCAAAACCACCTCTCAATCCAGTCTCTGCTCAAACGATTCCTGCGGCGAGGAGATCTCATATTTGACCCTAGCTCAAGAGTGCAGCAGATATCTGCCAACGTCAAGCCTCACTACTTTAACTACAACTAGCGCTCGCAGCACTGCTACTCCCAATACTAGTACCATGTCTTCTATCGTTGTATCAACGACCACAGCGCCTTATCCCACAGAGCTGGAACGCTTGCCAATATCCACCTCCGTTTCCCTAACCACAGATGCTTCTGGACCTCAAACCTCCTCTGGATCTCAGGCCAACACCCAGTCCACCCGTGGGCCTAGTCTCAAACAGCGCGCTCTCACTGCAGTTTTCGTTCTGGCACCAGTCAGCATAGTGCTGATGCTGGTTGCCATCTTCGTCGTGATCCGAAGACGCAAACAGGCCCGCCGCTCAATATCAAGTTTTGCAGGCGTGAAGGGTTGGAATAGAAGCTCAATGGCTTTGGCGGAACCTGCACCAGTGAGGGGGGATGTAGAACAGCAGTTTCCGCCGCGGGTTGTGGACCAGGTTAGAGGGGGAAGGTTCAGTTTGTTCCCAAAACCACCGACATTCCCGGCACCAGTTCGGAGATCATCGACGGTAATCACTACCATGGAACCTAAGAAGGTGCTCCCGGAGGTGCCGCCGATGTCACAGCATCGTCCAATCACAAGGATCTCGGAAGTCTCGGAGACAGTGTCACCAACTAGGGATATAGGGACATTTCAGACGATGGATTCGGAACTGCAAAGAGCGTTTTTGGAGGTCCGACAGGGGTTTCGACCAAACTCGCCGAGGTCTAGTGCAAGGACGTCGATGGATTGGAGTATGATGATCGATATATCCCAGAGCAGTAACACCGGAAGTCGGAGAGACTCGGAATTTTCATCAAAAGCCGGCAGCAAGACTGATACGCGGTTTTCGTGGCAATAAGGGTCCACTGGCATGCAGAGTGCTACACACTATTCGATTCTTTGTAAACTTTTTCTTTCTTTCTATCTTTACCCTTATTTCTTTTGTTTTGGGGGGCTCGACTTTACAATCTTTTATTACTGGTTATTATTAAACATGGGACTCTAGAGGGGTTTGGGTTTGTTTTTCTTTTTGTCATGGCGTCTAATTCTATATCTAGCAGGACAAGATTGTAGCTGGTAGGATGCCTACCTATGTGCAGGCTGCATAGAAACATGTAATACTTAGTTAATGGGTGGTTGGAGGTGTCTTTATGAAGTTATGATTTGTAAATAATGAATAACGTCTCTATCATGATTCATAAATACCGTTTATCCCCGCTGTACCGCTACCCCTTGTGCCTTGAATCAACCCCCAACATATCAATACACATATCTAAAGTTGATCTGCGCCCCAGTCGTCAGTATCACTCCAATGTTTGAAAATTTGGTGGAGGAAATCCAGAAGTATGCTTACGTTCTCTCTATCAGTCATGTCTGAAAATGCGGTCGAATCCAGATCCCTCTCCACTCCCTTTTGCAACTCATCTCTCTTTTTATTCTCTCTTGCCAATAGAATCCCAAGCGTCAAGATAATCAAAACCTCCGCAATGTTGCAGATTATCATAGTGGCGATGCCAAGTGGGTACGTAGGGCTTTGACTGCTTTTGTAGAAGAAAGGTCCAATGAGATTGCCGAAACAATATCCCAGAAAGGTGACGGCGTTGGAAACAACCTTCTTGGTGTGACTATATGTGAAAGTTTAGTTAGTTCTCTGTGTGCATGGCCGAATGATGATTTGGGTAAATCTCACCCGGCAACATTTCCAATTTGCAGTGATAAGATCAGCACAAACGCCGCATTGTAAGGGCCGGTCATCTAAAAAGTCAATTTTGTGTTAACGAGTAACCAATATCATCAAGTTACCGGGGACATACATAATAACACATCAGCCGAGAAACATGGTAATGTAGAGGAACAAAAAATAGCCCAAATGAGCCTATGATGTTGGGGATCATGAATAAAGCTACCATTTTGCAGCGGCTATTGGGGGGAAGACGATCATTGATATAGACACAAGATAAAATTGAGACTGATATGACAACGCCGTACGGTATCTGTAGAAGTGTTGTGACCACTTTAGAGATTACTTATTAGTAAGGCGGGCGTAGGGAATTGTGAGGCAGGCACCTAGGCTACTTACAGGTCGAGAATTCGAACCCTTTAATAATTAATGTCCCTACTCGAAGATGCCACAGTTAGCTATTTGTAGCACTGATTTTGATCATTTGATTTCCTTTCATTAATCCATCGAGCACAGGAATTGTAGCATTGGTCATAAATATTTGCATGTCCTGTGATACACATATACATACCGAAATTACTTATTCCTCCATTTGGAATATTTGCTACAGTCGCCAAAGCGAAAAAGAAATACGTCTTGTAGTCCTTGAATGCCTCCAATACTTGATATGGTTTCAACGTTTTGTTTTCAATCCCTGTCTGATCTGCTCTGAGACGTTCGACTGCCAGTTTCCGCTCCTCTTTCGATAGGAACCTCGCGGTGACAGGTGAGTCAGGAAGGAGGACGAACATTACCACTCCCCAGATTGAACAGAGTGCGCTATCAAAGCTATCAGAAATAGGTCCGTGGGGAATGCATTAATATTAAAGAGAAGCATTTACCCAATAATGAGAAACTCGTATTTCCAAGATGGAAGAGCACCCTTGATGTGACCAATCGAATACCCTAAAAGCCCGCCTCCAGCAATTCCAAGTCCATTTGCTGAGTACCAGAGTCCGATACGAATGGGTTGCTGCCTCCGTGTGTCTTTGATTATTTAGATTTAGTATGCCCATAATCTGAGTAGTGAGAAAGGATGACCTTACACCACATTGAAGTTATCAGCATAAAGGCAGGGTCCGCACAGGCTTCTGCGGCGCCTCCCAGAATTCGCAGCGCTGCCAGACTCTCAAAGTTTTTGCAAGCTGCCTGCCACACTATTATAGAAAGTCATTATTGAGCAAATATTACTCCTATTTATATGATCGAAGCTTGTGTCACAACGTACTCAAGAAAAATCCCCACATAAAGATGTTTATGCCTAAATATTTTCCAACCTAGAGATGTACGTATATATGTTAGTCTCTGGCTTGTTTGTTTGTCTGGTGTAATATATATGATATACCGGTAACCTCTGCAAAAGGAAGTTAGTAGGGAATGCCCACCTATACATCATCAGTGATTTACGCATGATATTGATAGGCTCATAATACTTACATTAGAAAACCAATATAGAAAACAGCGGACAGCCAGTTATACTGATTTCCATGAAGGTCCAAGTCTTTCCCAATACCGAACAAAGCCGCATAGGATAAAGTTGTTTTCTATTCTCATATTAGCTCAACTGTTTCCTCGGCCAAGCTCCTTTGGGATTGCGGACATCGATGTAAAAGAAGCAATAACAAATTGCTAAACTAAGCACTGTGAGTTCAAGTGCATTATAAACTATTGGGGGATTTCTGGAAGGTCTCACTATGGCAAGATCATGAGATCAATCTTTCTGACCAATTTTCCCTCCTGCTCAGGGTCGATAAGTTCATGCAATTCCTGTTCATCTCTGAACAGAGCTAAAGCAGCATCATCTTCTCCTGATAGTCGTCTAGACCTGGATCTTGATCGTCGTCTAGACCGGGACCTTGGTCTCGATAAAGCTCCGTACTCAATATGCTCTGAAAGCAAGCCCGTGCCAGCGTCATCGCCGTTGTCTTTCATCATTCTCTCTTCCGTTGGGGTATGTTGTGGGGAAAGCTTGTTATGGTGACAGGTCTTTTCGACATAGAGTATTAAAGGGGGATTTAGGCAATTGCTGGCGGTTAATAGAATCACTGATAGCATTACTTATTAACATGCACGGTTGAGATCCTTATCGGGATGCTTATCGTGGGTTAGGGTTACATGTGCCGAGGTGTTATGGCGTTTAGAGCTGGTACCCCCACGAATTACAAAATTGCCAAGATATATGTATGTGCGTAGGTACCTGTAGTTACTTAAGCCCCCCCCCTAATACTCTACCTCCAAAGCCCCCCCCCCTAATACTCTACCTCCACTTCCTGAAGTGCAAATTCGCCATCAGGATCCTCCAAGCCTCCCCGCTAGCAAACTCAGTAATGGGAAGGACAGACCCCCACTTCCCCACCACCCTACGAGACCGAACCTATTCACACACCGCCCTCCTCAGAGGCCAACCCAATCCGCCAAAGAAATGGAACTCCAAAGCGAAGAAAGGTGTAGCACACACACCAATCGAACACCTCTGCTCCCTGCTCCTCCCCCTGATCGAGGAAGGCGTAGATCAGAACAAGATGGCTCATAGAGCCAAGCAACAACTGCTGGATAACTGGCGCACTCATTTCCCAACCCCGACCTACTACACACACAGACTAGATACGTCTCCCCTACCCTTTACACACCTTCACAAATTCATTGCCACAAGAATCCACCAAATACGATCAGGGAAGAGCTACCTACGAGCACAGCAATCCTGGATCAACCTACACACCTCGCCCAAATGTCGGAAATGTGGTCTCGAGGATGAGACCCCCGACCATGCTATACTACAATGCACCGCTACCGCACTCACCCGCTCCCAAACTCTAAACGGAGTCACATCCCTTGAGGAAATCTGGGATAACTACACCCTCACCCTCCTACTAGGAGCCTACATCACCAAAACTAGAACAGGCTACCTAGTCAGCCGGGGACCCTCACCACTCGAATCAGGCTCAGGAACCTCATCCCCCCTCAGCTCAGTCTCCTACTCCTCCACGTCATCAACACCAATCATGGGCCCAATACCCATAGTTTACGCGTCCTAACAAAGTCTCACTGCGAGCACGGGGCCAATGGCCAGAAGGATTTCATAGGGAAAGGCGCCTAGCTCTCCCTCTAAATTGTTCATTGTTATTTATATGCGTTTATTTTTCTTTGTTATATTTCTCTTTTATTTTGGAATTTTGTTTTTTGCTTTTTATTAGGGGGTGAGTTTTATGTTTTGTTAGGGGAAAGGTTTCTTTACGCCATAGTTTATACTTTATGCGATCATTGTATACCTCGAAACAGAAATTGAAATGATTTAAAAAAAAAAAAAAAAAAAACCTGTAGTTACTTGCCGCCCTATCGATACGCGTAGGATCCTGTCTTATCAGTAAAAATAGTACAAGTGCTGTCGTTCACGGACACTGGGTGTTGACGGACAACCCAAAAGAGAGACAGCCAAGCCCAGTTTTGCCTTCAATTATTGGTCAAAAGGCCCCTGTCCGTCAATACAGTACAGTGTCCGTCAATACCCCGTGAACGACAGTATCTACCTGTATGCATCATATGACCTTGATCTCTTCACAGCTAGAGGGCATAAAACACGTCCTACATGTATTTGTAGGCATAGCTTCTCTCTGATCATGAGTAGTCCGAGCACGCGCACTGCGAATCCATTATACAATAAATACCGGAGCGATAAATGGTGGTATGGGTGTTCAGTAGCATAATGGTACTCTACATCCATCCCTTACTGGTGCACCAGAGACATATATATAGATTATTTCAGGATCCCCTTTATAGGTTTACTTCGGCACGAGCTCGTTCTCGATCCCCGCCTTCTGAAGAAGCATGCTACGTACTAAGTCAACATCAATTGTAACACGAGTATGTGTATATTATATTACCATAGGGATGTATTTGAGTACCGCCCATAAACCTGTTGAACATTCCTTCTCGGAAGGACTTGGGCTACCATGCTCTAGAAGGTACTTAGCTAGCAGATCTAGCTCATCTTCCCATGAACAGGCCGGTCTTATCAAGACCGACTAAACCCGTGCCTTTATACGTATCAATAGAGTGTAGGTAGAGTCCTCATAATTTTCAGCGTCCTGATGATGTCACAGCAGCTGTGTTCTCAAAGAATTTTGGCAAACTAAACATATGAACGGCGTTATCATGTTGAAAGGTTGCAATATTTATTCAAGAGCCATACGTTCCGAAGTATTTGTAGGGTGCAGGTAGGCATAAGATGTACTAACTACCCTAGAAGCACGCACCCGGGCCAGTAGATACACGATCCTATCTTCCGTACGTCTTTCCTGATTCATCCAAAACAGATACTCTTGGAAGCCATTGGACGAAACCACACAGAGTGTCTAGAAACACTCTCCAGCAGAGAAGGCGGGATTCCCACTCCATTAAAATCAGTAATACTAGCCTCATTCGGTATTTTCCGTTCAATTCTGCAGCCTGCCATAGTTAGCCCTACTAGCTCCTGATATTTTCTGGACAATTGCTTTTTATCCGGAGAGGATTCGAGAAGGATTCGAATACTCAACTAGGTAGCTTTTGTTGGGCCTGTGATGTCTGATTTTACTTCTACTCTATTCGCTTTGGCATAGCCACTGTCGATCGAAAATTTAAGAAGAGACTCAGTCAAAAAAGTAAAATGAGGCCGATGAACTATCCTCCGGCCCGCGCCCCCTAGGCTCTATGACAACATTTTAATAAATGGTTGGCTGCCATTCTAGCTGTAATTATGTAGGTGACTTCGGATTTGTGTGTGGGGACGTCTATGGGAACGGATACATGTAGTTATAGCAAGGTGTGGCAAGGTAGCAAGTGTAAAATAAGGTTTTGGAAATTAACCACTTGCTCGAACGAGCGCGGTTTGCATCTATTAAGCCTCTGATCGATGATAGATTAAGAATAACCCCACCGATAGGACTAGTTCTCAGCTACATATGAGTCTTGCCCGACATAGAAAGCTTCATTCCTCAAGTATGACTCGACCAACGACGATTGGTGCAACACTCCGCTGCAGGGGTAAAAGAAAAAAAAAATCACTGCCTCGCTCAACACTCCTAAAGTTCAGCTCACTCAGGCAACACCTCGTGATATGTAAATATCCATTCAATTTGGCCCCAATATGCAATCCAATTGAATGGATGGGTTGTTAGTAGGACTAGGCAGATTGGCGCTTATGTAGGCCCAAACAGAGGCTGTGCGAATCTTGTGCGCAGCCTTGCCCCCCGACGTCACTAACATCTTGCCTACTTAAAACCACAAAAATCCCCCCGAGGAGATTTTTTCCTCTCCCCTATTCTTTGTCGACTTCATACGCATTGGTTTAAGAGAGCTGGTTTGAAAGGTAAAAACACATACAATTCATGAGAGATATGCTAAGCTAACTTGAACGAGTGTCCCAAAAACAGATAATATAATAACTCAACCATGTACATGTCCAGGCGCCACTAGAAAAGAGAGAGGAGACTCATAGCGTCCATCCTTAAAACAAGGATTTCATAACGAACTTCAATGAGACAAATAGAAACAAAACATTATTTGCAAGAAACCAAAGAATAAGCTGAAGAACGCCAATCATCCAATAACAGGGAAACCAGTAACAAAAGAAGCTCAGCTTCGGGTATCAATCCCTCCGAAATACCAGATTCCGAGCCTCGGGACTAACTTGCAAGCAAGCAAGCCGGATTGATGTTATGATTGGATAGTTCTGGGAGCTTTGATACGCTCTTTCCTTGCTGGGACCAGTACACATTCTGGCTCTTGCCTCTCTGTCTGTGCCGACCAATCGTGGGGATAATCCACCCTAGCAACACTATCGCTCGCATCGATAAACCGTCTCGGGGTCTTCTGCCTATACATGTGCGGTTCCTGCGACCTCGTCGTCTGCGGTTTTCCTGGACGTGGATCCGACCTGCTCATTGTGTACTCCGAAATAATATCGTTGTTTGCACAATAATCTAGGAATTCCGTGTCAGGAATGACACTCCCTTGGTACCTATGGCCTATCACATGATACAAGAATCGGTTCCAAGTGATGGCCGGGGTGTCTGTCTCGAATGGTTTTCCGCATATTGTACATTTGCAAGACTTTGGTGGGTCGATGCCACCGAGATGGGACTCGACGTGACTGACCCAGGTCTCAGGGGTGCAGTATTCTGGGCAAGCATTGAACGCAAACAGGCATCGATAAGATCCTTTCTTTGGGGAGCAGTTCACTGCAACTGGGCGAAGATGACGTCCTGTGGACAAGACCCCACCACCATTGTCTTGAAGACTGTACATCTGGGGATGAACGATATAGGAAAGACCAGAGCTGTTGAGGGTGGTCATGCTGCTATTGTCTAAGGCGGGAACTGGAGAGGAGAGATAGCGACCCCGTTGCTTAAGTGGTATCTCGAGGGGCCTCTCACAAGGCTCGCCGTCGTCACTGCTGGAACTGTCGTCGAAAGGGACAGGGGCAACGAGATCAAGGGCGTCGTCCCCCAGGAATGTTGCCATCGGAGTTTCGCGATATCGAGTTGGAGGTTGGATCAATTCTTTCCCTATTTATTACGGAATACACAATTAGAAAATCAAATATCTATTGCGAACGGGATCTATTTTCTAAGGTCTAGAAGCTAACAGTTATGGGATGGAGCTCTTATATTACTTACACGAAAATTCAGAGCGTATAGAGTACTGCGAAGCAGTGTCAGAGTTTCGTCTTGTCCGTGGTCCCTCTGGGGCAATTTGTGACATGCCTATTGAATGTAGTGGGTGGGTTTTAGGTGATCTTTATTGTGGGTCTTTCAAACGATCTTGGACAATTGCGAGATAAAAGCACAAAACTTCGACGAACGACTGTTTATATCTACGGTTTCTATCATTCTCCCCCAGTCTTTATCAAAGATGCAGACCTTGAGGCTCAAAATTCGTGTAGCCATTGGTTTAGAAGCGAGTCCAATCAGGCAGACCTGCTCCTTACACTGCTGTCGCAGGTGATCTAATATATTGTGCTAGTTGCTTGGCATGCAATTGGCAGTAGAAAATAATATTAACAAGCGAAGCAAGTTTTCGCGTTCACACCTCCGCCCGCATCAGAGGTGTTGCCCAAAATCGAACTGCGCTTACCGGGCGGGCGGGGTAAAACCCACGTGGCCAGGGTTTCATGGAACGCATGCATTTCTTTCTCGCGCGCAATTATTCCTAAGAGCGCTGGGCCGGGGTTTGTTCTAACGAACGGAACACAGCACATTCATTCTCTGCGCAGGGTAGAGTAGCTATAGAGAGAGATAGACTGCCTGGATCATACTGTCACGACTGACAGAATGACGGGGTTCGAAACACGCTCTTGAGGATTGCGTAGGCATGCATGAGATGTCCCCATTAGACGGAGTATGTGGGGGTTTCAAAGTCATCTCTACTACACAAGTAGCTGGGCCTTTTCTGGAGTTTATTCGACATCTTTTTCAATACATGCACCATTCGTGGCGTTACAGTTCTCGTTCAAAAAGGGACGCTGGCACAAAATCAGACGTAATTACAAACTAACTACAGATCGGCTTTTGAGAGAAGGCCAAGTAAGTCGGTTCAGTTAGTCAATTGGCAGTTTCTAAACATACAGCGACAAAAACAATGGGGACGCTGATGGGCGTGGACGCGGGTTCTCGGCAAAGAGGAAGAGTGAATGTATGAATGGGACATGCGAGATGATGGTGGGGGAAAAATGAGAGGAAATCATCATACCCACACTTATTAATTGGTCAGTCGCTATGGTACCACCTCACCGGGCAGTCCGAAAAGGGTTGCTGGCAGAAATTCGAAAATAATATCTCCATCTGATTTGCCATGCTCCGAAGTGAAGGGAAAGTTCCGGACGTGGGGCATTGACGAAGCGACCAACCGTCATTTATTTTGGTTTACTCTAGAGTATACATGATACATACATGTCGGGATATATCTACACTTACCCCGCCAAATGTTTTGCTATAGCATTGATTGCTCCGAGTGATTGGCTGTGGATTCGATCTGGAAATTAGCTAACGGATCAGAGCAAAGATATCGCCGAAAGACGCTCGACTATGCTCCAGATCAATACTCGGCAACTCTTTAAAGTCCGAGAGACAGGCTCCCTGCTTTAACTGTCAATTTGCTGGTCGTTGTTAGTTTTTTCCTGCAAACTCATGTGCTGTCACTCGTTATATACATACAGTGTTCATATCCGGTTTAGGAGAATCATTCATAGATTTGCACTCGGAATACTCATGATCAGCTGGGACGCCGAGATAAAACTGTAAGACACATAAGGCGCAAAAAAATTTTCGTATGCACCCTGAACGTGTCGTCATAATTTTTTCTTCTTCTGCTTAATTTTCTTTTGGGATGCGTGGCCCAGTCGGGACGAACAGAAGGGAGGACGCCGGCCGGGATGCTTTCAGACTGGCTAGATCGCTAGGTTCAAAGAATGTGAATCACAAACATCACCCTGCAGTGAAGGTATGTAGGTACATACGAGTAGAGACCGTGGGAGTATCTAGCTTGTATCTTAGGTGCTCGGTACCTTCATCAAGTGTGCAGGCTAGCAGAAAGAACAAGAGGGCCTGTTGCACCATCCACCGTAGCACAAACATCCTTACGACTATGCATATCTGGCATTACTTGCTTTTTTCAGGCAATTAATTGAAGGCTCCACCGACCGGCCACTCCACCTCGGGCACCACCACCCCCTCAACCAACCTCCATATTTCCCCTTCCACTTTTGTTTTTCTCTCCGTTGTGTTCAGCAGTTGGATAAATTTCACTCTACTCATTTCAGTACTGATTACCTATGGTTAAACAGAGTGGTTGTGGAAAACAGATTGGAGGCTTGGTTTATGACCGGGCGCGCGGGGCGGGGAAGGGCGGGGCGGGCGCGTTGATAATAGTGAGGCTCTGCTGTAGTTGACTGATTTTCTGATTGGTTGGCTGATCCTAGTGAGACATGGGACGCTGAAACGGGCCGCATATCAGCCGTAAAGTGATCTACATACATACGTCTTCCATCCATCCCTCGACACAGCCGCTATATCTTTCCCTCTCGGAAAAACAAGAGACCCTGGAGCTTCGGAAGAAATGATATTCTACCTGATCACAACTACCGTAGTTTACGAATGGGCTGACATCACTGGATCGTCAATATATCAACCAACCGAGCACACTTCATCTGAATCACTCAAGTTCAAAAATATGAGTGACTGGTCTACTTATTGCAGGAACAACATATATGTAGGCATTGAGGAATAGGCACGTGGTCGGCATACGTAGTAATGAAAAAATGCGTGGTTATGTTGAATGACGCGGTTGATAGACACTCTGGTATTGGTCCCATGGCATTGAGCTGTTAATTTGGCAAAATTCCTGATTCAATGGCGAATACATATCAGTCATTAATGCTTTATGGATTGTATTCAAAGATCTTACCTTGCACGCACTGTACTCTAGGAGCACATTCGACATGGAATCGAGGTTACCCGAACGCAGGGCGGGATGCGGACATCGGCACCGATGCCACCATAGAGGAATATATCTCGAGGAAACATATTCTTTTTTCGCTAGATTTCAGAACAGCTTCAGAGTGATGTGACTAGCTAGTTTTCTGTCAAGAGCTTCTAACTCTAAGTTCTTCAAACGAGAATTCGAGAAAAACAATAGTAAGGGCAAAGCTTAGTGTAGTGGAATTTAGGTATTACTTAGAGAACTAACCACACCCGTTCAAATCCGTCTGATAGAGTGCCTACACACCACCAGTGCGAGAACATGGGGATCTTTGATGCATCCCGCTACCGAGAGATCGGAACCCGAGTTTGAAATGCGAAAAAAATTGGTGGGTTGCGGGGACCCTGCCTGATCTCGCCTGCCAGTGCTAGTGAGTAATGAGAGTCAACCAGACACCGGATTGTTTTACCAGATTTGCTCACAAATACTAAAGGTGTAAGGGAAAACCTCCTTGCCCCACATTGTAGCACTGTAGTACAAAAACTTGGGTCAAAACCTCTCTTGTTTTGCCCGTGTTACACACCCTACTGAAATGGGGGAATGGGTCGGAAGAGATAGGATCATAAGGAGTCACTCTTCGTTCCTAATTAGTCCCGCGGACTCACGCAGCGTCCTGAATCATGATGGATTTATTGATTTATCTTCTCTGTACTGTGCTTTTGACATCGCGTAGCTTGACCCACTGCTCGGCTCTATGCAAGAAGATTACTATGTAATTAAGAAGGAAACAACTGCGGATATAATACAATGTCATACAAAACCCCGCCACTTCACATAGCCAAAAGTAACATGAATAAACATCCCCTCATCCTACTTTACAAAGATCCCTCCCGCCTTGCACCTGCCATCTACACAACTCTGGCTGCAACCACATGCTCACAATGCTCGCCACCATAATCGCAAAAGTGTCCGGCAATGCAATGGTTGAGATCAAAAACTCTCTAACTGCCGTCTCCTCCTCCTGAGACCTTTTTATGTTCACACTTGCCTCGCTTCCCGGCTCCTCCATCTCCTCACTCAATAATCTTTCTCCCGCACTTCCCCGCATCGAGACTAACTTCCTCAATCTCGGCCTCGGCGCAAAATACCCATCCTGCTCACCGTCAAGAGGTGTCGAGATTCCATCTTCCTGGGTATCGAAGCTCCTCTCCTTCTTCCGCAGCCTCTTGGAACGAGCCTTATCGAGCGCATTCCACACCGCATCAGGAAGTGGCTTCTTTGAAACTCGCCAGTATGTATTACTCATACCGAGGCCTCCGCATAGGCCCATTGTGAATATCAGTGCCATCACGACGAATGGAGAGAAAAGGACGTTTCCGTCGGGATTTTCGGTGAATGAGGAAGGGAGCATGGACCATGATTGATTTAGCATTGTGACAAAGATGACCGACTCAATGGCGCAGAGGATCCAATAGGCAAAGCTTGAGCTGGAATTACCACCAGGGAGGCGGAAGAGAGTGATGGAGGTGCGGCCAAAGAAGATGGCAAACTGATAGGTGGTGAAGAAGAAAGGATAGAAAGAGCGGGTAGAGGTGAAAATAGTGTTCAGGAGGGAGGCAGAGGGGGTGAATACGGAGGAGAATGGAAGATGGTATATTATCGTAGGTAAGATACCCTGATATTATATTAAATGGATGGCATATGTTTTATTTGAAGATAGGGACTTACCTGGGTAGTGATATTCTCCAAAAACATTAAGATTGCAAGCGGCGCCATATACCCAATCACCATCGGCCTGACTAGCCGCAACTTATCCCCCAGTTTCAAGTCACTGATCATTTCTTCCTTGCCAGCCCCACCGACTTCTTCCATCTGGATTTCATCAATGTCCGTCCCGCTTGCCAAAGCAGCTTCATCACACTCCTTGGGAGATGGAAGAACAAAGAAATAAGTCATTAACATGATACTGGGAACAATCCCAATACCGGATAACACTGCTGATGGTGTTACTCCAAAGGAGCTCGTAAGGAGCGTATAGATAAATGATCCAACCAGGCCGGCTGCTCCGCTACCGGCCGCATATCCACCAAAAGAGCGGGAAATCATTGATGGGTAGCGGGTTGCGAGTTGGTAGAAGGACCTTTTTGCCATCAGAATGATACATCATGGGTGGATGAACAGCCGCAGAGAAGACTTACATATCGCCCAGATTACTACTTAGACTAGCAAAAGCAATACCAAGCATTCGGACACCAACATTATCAGCCCACGCTAGCATCTGCAGCCCAAGGAATGAAGAGGCCGCGCAGACAGAGAGGCGAGCCGCATAATTGATCTCTTGGGACACCTTGTCTCCTTTCTTGAGCCCAAAACTTGGGGTGCCAGGAGTGTGAATCCCACCGGGGGTGTGGGCTCTCCAATAGTCGGACGCTTGGGGCGAATAGAAGTACGAAAGGAGATCCGAAACTTTGGGAAACTTGATATATGGGACGAAGGTACGAACAAGAACTGAGGGAAGGGTATATGCGAAGAGGATAAGACCCGGTGGCGCGCTGTTTCCCACAAGACTGATAAAGTGTTAAATTAAATGCTTCTGGAATAGGAGATGATCTCAAGACTACTTACTCATTGGCGGCAGTTAAGACAACCCTGCATGTGCAATGTCAGCCAATTGCAACAATATCAACTGAATCGATATATAAAGAGGATACATACCCGAACTGCATAGTCACAAGAGTGCCAAACATCCAAAAAGAAAAGGACAGCAACGCAGGTACCGAAAAGAGAGCCATCATGAATGACGTCTTTCGCTGCTCCATATGCACCCGAGAGTCAATCCTTCTATTTTTCAGTGGAAACGTGTTGTACACCGGCTTGCTACCTTTACCGTTCCTAGAGGATTGGCGCGAAAGGATTCTGGAGGTTGAGTTGTAGCCACGATTTAATGGGGGTTTTTGGGAGGCGTTGCCTTGTATAGGAGGGTTTTTGGAGTTGCTTCGTGACATGGCTGGCTTCATCTTCCGAGGAGTTGATCAGGGTTTGGTATGTCTAAGATTGAGTTATGATGGGCATCAATCAACGTGGGGTAACAGTGCAACTATATAAATAGTCGAGAAACGGTGGCCATGGATCGTGCCATCTCTACCTATTCTAAATATTTTCAAGCCTATGAGGTGGAGATATCATGTGGGGAGGATAAGGATAGTACTGGTCACGCCTCGCAGCTGGTGAAGACTTGACCTACATGTACTTATTAGTCTGCCTTGGCAGATATGGTAGCTCAAGGGCTAGAAAATTGATTTAGGTTGCTTGAAAATTCTTCGGGATAGGAAGGTTAGATGTTTTTTTTCAAGAAGCACATTTTATTACCTTTCTCTCATTCTTTTTAGATTCATGGTATCTGGTAAGGAACGCGAATACAATGAAATAAGACCTGGATATAAATAACGCACAGATGCCCAAGGCATCTTAATCGATAAAAAAAGCTTTCAGGCTGTGGGGTAAACAAATATCTATAATCCTCGTAGAGATCTTGGTACAGAATTGCGGGGCAGCCAACCGTTTTGCATCCGTGTCTTAATCGTTAAAATCTGCGAGATTGCATCACCTATCCGAACGCTTCTTCTCCGTAGCCTGCAGCTCTATGTAAGTGGCGTTTTGTTTCCTGGGTTTTCGAAGGGACCTTCCCCGTTAGATACCCGTGTTGAAACCTGTCTTCACCTCTAGCACGGGTCTTTTCATCCCTAGATCAACCACTAGGCTCGTTGTTAGCTGGTTCGTGCTGCAACCACGCTGGCCTGTGACCTGTCTTTGATGTACTATTTAAGTCACAATGCTACAAGTAACGACTACTACTCTCTCCTCGAAGGCAAATACTCATTCTCAATCATCGTCTGCCTCAGCGCTTTTTGCATACATCTATCTCAATATCCTTACTTTTCAAAGCTGCCTTTATCAGTATAATAATATTCATGCCAAACTCGAGAAGGCTTTCTACAATAGAGGGATTATCGTCGACGTTTAACCATCAACCCGAAGAAGAACCGTTTGCAATGGATGATGACCTGGGCGAACAGGAGAGACCTCTCGCATCGCCATCCAAAATACCAATACCAAAAGCAAGATCAACGTCTGACGCATCAGCAACGCCCACGGCCGTGAAACCTAACATAAATCGTGCATGGGTTACTGTGCTCACAGGACCAGCATATCTACCAGGAACTATAATTCTTGCTGATTCACTTAGGAGGGTCGAATCAAAGTATCCGCTTCTCGTTTGTGTCACACCCTCGGTGAACAAGACTGAGCAAAACGCACTCAAGGCTGCGGGATGTGAGCTGATGGTGATCGAGCCACTGAAGCCAAAGGTAAAAGTAAATGTTGTAGCAACTCGATTCGAGGATACATGGACTAAGCTGGTAGTCTTTGGGCTTGTGCCGATGGAGGTAAGTTATAATTGTTTTCGTTTTATATCATTGATTAATCGGGCTTTTACAGAGATTGGTCCTACTCGATAGTGATATGCTGGTTCTTCGCAATATGGACGAGCTCTTTGATATGGATCTGCCGTTTGACTTTATCGCTGCAAATCATGCCTGTGTTTGTAATTATGCTAAGGACCCTTGGGCTGATGCTGATTGGTGAGTTCTCAAAGATCTGGGTGTTTTTGCTTCTTTTTTCTCACATATTCTTCGCCACACAGGAACCCCCAGAATTGTGCGTACACAGGCCTAAAGCACCCTAAAGCCCTCACGAACCCAAGAGAGGTCACACCAGAGTCTATCAGGACGCATCATCTTTTAAATTCCGGTCTCGTCGTGTTCCATCCCTCAACTATGTTGTATGCGGCAATAGTAGAATTCCTCTTAACTGACCCCCGGGTCCCTACCTTCGGATTCCCTGACCAAGATCTCCTTTCCGTATTTTTCAAAAACAAATTCAAGCCGATAGGTTGGCAGTACAATGCACTAAAAACAATGAGTTACGAGCACAGAGATATGTGGAGTGATTTTGAGGTAAGGAATCTACACTTTATTTGTGAGAAGCCATGGAAGACGGGTAGATGTGAGGGAAGATTCAAGATTCCACACGGTATCTGGTGGGATGCTTGGGACAGGTGGTTTCACGAGGCTCAAATTAAGGTGCCTAAACTGGCGCAGTTCCTTACACGATATGTCAACCTACCGGATAACCCCGGGTCGAGTGATCGCTCAAGCTCTGCCTGAGAGTTACACTGTCAGTAGTTCCAACATGTGCCGGTGATAGTTGAGCTCTCTCTTCGTCCCGTGAACACATTTTTTTAGACTTGTATTAAAGTTGTTTCAACAGTTCTTTTATGAATTCACAATTCAATTAGGGAGGATATGCGATTGTGTTCACTCATATCTTATCACTCGGTGTACGCTTAGGGTTAGGGTTCTACACGAGATTATTCATGAGTCAATTTATGCCATTTCATTCTTTAAACTTTGGACAAAACGAGTGCCAGTAGAGCCAGTCATCTGCTTTTGCCTCCTGAACTAAAGGTATGCACAAAGTCCCAAATATGCATACGTATACTTTGTCTCTGTTGCGACTTCGAAACTACATGTACTTCATTTAATTAGGTTCGTTTCTTGTAAAGACCGCTTCAAGAACATTGCTAAACAAGCAATTACCTTAAAAGTGCACATGTCCTGCGACCCACGCACACCCGTGGAGTAATCAATTGTTTCAAGGTACAAAAACTATCTATCTATTGCTATATATATTCCTTTCCTTGTGTATCTATTTTATATTCCTTAATCCTCTTTTCACCTCATTAGAACTCATGCGATAGGTCCTACTCTCCTAAACCACCACACAGAGAGTGGAGGTTTGTCTAGAGAGCGTTGGATCTCCGACATCTCATTGTGTTTCTGATCCAACACCTAAATCTGTTCATCAACTTTGATCTTGATTCCTTTGGAGATATTCGGGGTGAGAAACGGTCATAATGAATTATACGGACTTTAATAGAGCCTTCTCGAAGGTAAAATTCATTCATTAGATACTGTCCGACAGTGCTTGAGCGGATGTAGTTTAAGATTCCTCACGCAGTAGACTCAGGAAGGTACTGTCTTAATACTGGGACTATCAAGTCCTCATTTCTGAGTTATGCCCATGACAGGATGCAATCATTTCTCTTATCTTTCCTCCCGTTTGCACTGTTCATATATTTGTATCGTTGTTGCACGTTCAACTCCACCAGTCGGCATTCCGCAACATCCTTGTCATTTTTTCGCGAGGGATGCTGCTGCACACTCATGTAGCCAATATATCTGCTCGCAAACCATCCACACATATACAAGAATACCGAATATCGCGTCATTTGGTAATTAATTTCGGCGTGTGTGTCTTGTATTATTTATTGTGTTGATCGAGGGGGTTGTTTTGGTGGTTTTGGCTTTTATAACTGTGTCTATCCCGCCAAGATGTTCTTATGGTCGGATTGATCAAGTAGCCAATTTGAGACGTCATTAATTGACGGCGTATCATGAAATATCACTCGCTAACTGTTTTCTTTCAAGGTTGGGATAGAAAGCGAGCAAGCGAGCGGTGCCAAAGGCGTATATCTCATCACATTACATAATAGACCCGATCCAGGAGCACTGCCTGCACATCTCGGTAAACGAAAAAAGAACTCAATACTATGATGTAGGCCAGCTGATAGAAGCGAATGGTGGGTGTTTTGATGGAAATGTAAATAAAAAAATGATACCCCAGGTCAGGGTCGAACTGACGGCTTTCGCATTGCATACAAGTTGGAATACTTAGTATAAGAACGACACGCTAACCACTGCGTCACAAGGGTATATGATGATGTGCCGTAAAAACGTCTTAAGTAGGGTACATAGTTTGGGAGACTTGGCTCCAAAGTTTGCTACCCTAACCACGATAACGTAATGCGCTCGCGGGAAGAGGTACTGTAAATAGAAAGTCGCGATGCGTCTCGAATGACTTCTCAGAAAGAGTAAAGTCATCAAACGCATGATGCAGGATTATCATTCCGCTATCTCAGATGTGTTACATAATATTACAACGTAAACAACATCGTCGGAATTTAACAGCCTCAAAACTACTCGCTACACCTCATCTGGATTTTTCCTTATGTTACTTCCACAGCGATAAAACTGTTAAAAAAAAAAAAGGTAATATAATCGATCCTTTAAGCGTGTTCATCTTATCCGCTAACTCGGTCGGTGTTTCGAGGGCTGTATGCGGGCTGATCAAACACGGTGAAAACAGGTACCTAGCACATGGGGACTACTAGTACCTGTAGACAGCCCAAGCACAGTCAGAAAAAAACCGAAATAATCTCTGACCTGCTAGCTTGATAGACCCCGCTCTCACAGCACTTAGTTGGACTTGAGTAGAAGGTTTCCTTGCTGGTGTCAGCTGCAGCTTCAGTGCTACTGCTACGTACAAGACACTGCACCCAACACTCATATTACACAAAGAAAAACGATATTCGTATCGATTTTCTTTCCGGTAGTATCACTTTGCAATTTGGTATACCTTCTATCTTTCTTCGTCTACGGAAGTCGCCAGTCGCCGTGGCGCGGTTCCGGTCAGTGAAAGACCCGCCAAAAGTCCATGAGTATAGTACATCTTTCTACATATATATGTCCTTATTTAAATTTTCTTATGAGATATTGAGAGGCTGTATCAGCAGATACATCACAGGGAGTAATGAGAATTAGAACCCTTGAAGATAGGCTTTTTCTATAGCACTACTCTGTCGCAGCACCTGATTGATGGTTATTAGGAATGAAACTGACCTACCTTGAACTGCAACTAGATATGGGACTCGTTCGACCCCGCCTGATATAAAGAATATATAGACAGTCGCTCTCTCATTAGTATCAGTCCTCTTGCGATCTTCGACTCGATCGAGAAGGCCTGGCCACTATTCAACGAGCCTATTAGTATCCCCGACAACCAATACTGGAATACGTGCCATACTGCTTCTTCTTTTACCTACAAGCAGCTTGGAAGAATTTCTCTTTGATCTATTCAAAAGATGACATAGCTAAATAGTTCAATTTTCCAACCGAAACAGATTTTCTTGGTATTATTCTTGACATGCCGTTCTCTCGATCAGCGCTGCTCTCAGATAAATGATGTGGAAGAGTAGTACTTCTACCACCCCTGGGTGGGCATAGGCCGAAGGCCCTACTCAAAAGTTGGTTATGGACGGGTTGACATTCTTCAAGCGGTTCCATACCACTTATGAAATGCTTTCTCGATGTTCTAAATATAAATGAACACTTGTGGGAAATATTTTTCAGTTACAAAAATAACCTAAAATACCTAGATCTATCTGGGTTCGAACAGTCCAGATCTTGGGGTAAGGCAATATACGGCGCAGTTGCAGTACTAATGCTTGGCAATGCAGGTGTGAACTGCCTGACAATTGGTACAAAAGCCAATCACTCTGCTTATCATTTGAGCTCCAAACTGGGTCTTATCTATTTCCTCTTTTGTACCTCTTGTTTTTTTAATGGATACGTGTAACTACAACTGCAGATTACAAGTACTGGATACCTGTAATATTATGTAGGCGCTAGATCAGTATATACAGAAATTTAATGGGCGCAAATTTTATCACAGTGGCGGGGGAGTGTATATTTATCTCTATACATCACTAATAAGTAGCACGTAGAAGGGCTTCAGGAAGGACTCATGAATTCTACTCTGTAAATGATGTAGTTAAGCGGAAATTTAGAACCTATTGGAATTTAAACAGATCGTACAGTCCGGGAAAGAAATGAGCAATTAAATGAGCACCAGAGGGTCATAATGTTCAGAAAATAGCTTGGAGGGATAATTCCTCGAATGCTTGCATGTATGATTGAACCGGACCAACTCAGAGACTATCACTTGGCCTCAGCTAGGTAGCATGTCAATGATACAGCACAGTGCTACTTGCTAATCCGCGGGCGTTGATTGGCAACAAGTGACCCACAATCCGCGAAGCCTCAAAAACCCTTGGACCCCAGATTCTTGGCGCTGCCCCACATTCATTTTTTCACAACTAGGCCACAAGACGAGCCTTTCTCTGCAAACAGCAATTGCTTCTTCCCAACCCGATCGTGACAAAGAAGAAGAAGGTGAGGCATCATGTCTTCAATGCGTCTTGTGAGCTTCTTCCCAACCTCAATTAGAAAACTCAAATCTAATGTATCTGCTCCATAGCTACGACTTCCCACCAGCACCAGACTCTGCCTCCCCCGGCACCGCGCCTTCCCTCCAAGACTCCCTACATTCTTTCAACCTGCAACATCTTTTAACCTCGTTCGCTCCCTCGCAACATCTTCCAATGTTCCAGCAACTTCGCCAGTTCAAAATCTCACTGAACAGATCGTACAAAACTATGCTGTCAACCTCCCTCCTGGCAAGGCCGTCCACTCGGGCGACTATGTTACGATCCGTCCACACCACTGTATGACCCACGACAACTCCTGGCCCGTCGCCCAAAAGTTCTTCTCGATTGGTGCCACGGCAATTCACAACCCTAAGCAAGTCGTTATGACCCTCGACCATGACGTCCAGAACTCGTCAGAATCAAACTTGAGGAAGTACAAAAACATTGAGGAACTGGCAAAGAAGCAGGGCGTAGACTTCTACCCAGCTGGGAGGGGCATTGGACATCAGATCATGACTGAGGAAGGATATGCCTGGCCAGGAACCCTTACTGTAGCGAGTGATTCACACAGTAACATGTACGGAGGTATCTCGTGTCTTGGAACCCCAATTGTCCGTACCGACGCCGCATCTATCTGGGCTACTGGACAGACATGGTGGCAGATCCCACCGGTTGCGAACGTGAAGCTTCAGGGTGTTCTCCCTAAGGGTGTTACTGGAAAGGATGTTATTGTTGCCCTTTGCGGACTCTTCAACAACGACGATGTCCTCAACCACGCCATTGAGTTCACAGGATCCGAAGAAACCCTTCAGTCCCTCCCCATCGATGACCGCCTCGCAATTGCCAACATGACCACTGAATGGGGCGCTCTCAGTGGTCTCTTCCCCATGGATTCCGTCCTTAAGAACTGGATGCTCCAGAAGGCCCGCGAACACTCTGCCCGCCTCAAGGACGCTACTCACCCCCGTCTCACAAACGAGAAGATCGCTGATCTGTTTGAGAACAAGAAGCTCACCGCACACCCAGACGCCACATACGCAAAGACGCTTTCCCTCGATCTCGGAACCCTTTCTCCCCATGTCGCAGGGCCAAACTCCGTCAAGATTGCCACGCCACTTCACGAGCTTGAAGCCCAGAAGGTCGCCATCCAGAAGGCCTACCTCGTCTCATGCACCAACTCCCGTGCTTCTGACATCGCTGCCGCGGCCGCCGTCTTCAAAGCTAACCCCACCGCAAAGATCGCTAACGGCGTAGAATTCTACATTGCAGCCGCCTCAACTCTCGAGCAGGAAGTGGCTACTAAAGCTGGTGACTGGGACACTCTTATCAATGCCGGTGCAAAGCCCCTCCCCGCCGGATGCGGCCCATGTATCGGGCTCGGAACTGGTCTTCTTAAGGACGGCGAAGTAGGCATCTCTGCCACCAACCGTAACTTCAAGGGTAGAATGGGCTCAAGAGACGCACTCGCCTACCTCGCCTCCCCCGAAGTCGTGGCCGCCAGTGCACTCAACGGTTACATCTCCGGTCCCGGAAACTACACTGGTCCTGGCGCTGCTGTGACCCGCTCCCAGGCCGCTACTCCCCCCTCTAGCTCTTCCGGTGCCGCGGCTACCTCGGAGGCCCAGGCAGAAACCGAGATCCTTGACGGTTTCCCCTCTAAGATTACCGGTGAAATTGTCTTCTGCGACGCAGACAACATCAACACCGATGGAATCTACCCCGGAAAGTACACTTACCAAGACAACATCCCGCTCTCTCAGATGGCCGAGGTCTGCATGGAGAACTACGACCCCAACTTTGCTACTCTAACCAAGGCTGGTGACATTCTCGTGTCCGGTTTCAACTTCGGTACCGGATCCAGTCGTGAGCAGGCCGCCACCGCCATTCTGGCTAGAGACATGAAGATGGTTGTTGCTGGCAGCTTCGGAAACGTGTTTATGCGTAACAGCATCAACAACGCCCTGATCACTGTGGAGGTGCCTAAGCTCATTGAGCGATTACGGGCAAACTTTGGCGGCGAGAAGGGTGTGGCTACCAGGAGGACCGGATGGTTTCTCACATGGGACGTAGCACGGAGGTGTGTGATTATCAGAGAGGGCGGTGAGGGTGCCGAGGAGTGGACAGTACCCGTGGGAGAGCTCCCACCGGGTGTCCAGGAGGTGTTTGTTAAGGGTGGTCTGGAGGGATGGGTTAAAGCAAAGTTGCAGTAGAGTAGAGCAGGGGAATGGGTTTGATTTATACTCTTTGGCGTTTAAAATGCGAGCAGTTAAGGGGGATATCAATTTGTATATATAGCCATAAACGAAGCTGTTGAAACAACCATTATGATATTGCAAGTGAGCCGCTTATATTACACCATCAATTTATATTTACTGGCAATCTTTGGGTTATTTGACAAGGTTGGAGTATCCTTCATTACATAGGTTTTTCTCATAAAAATAAAAAAAATTAAACTCCATAAAAAAGAGATAAAACCTTTTTTTTTTTTTTTGCATACAATCAATGGTTTAACAACAACAAGCGATTAATTTTCTCCTTATACTCGTCATACCCAAGTTTAGCGAAAAAAGAAAAAAAAAGCAACAACCTTTACCTGATGTTAGTGACAGATAAACTGTGTGGACAGGTGAAACATACAGGCACGAGCAGTACACGACTACTGATAAGAATGATGCTCTCAGTATTTTTTGGGGAGCTAACTGTGGATTATTAAGTTAACATGAGCTCGAGAATTCGGAACGTACCTCGTTAAGATCTGCCAACTGCTTCTCCACTTTCTCGAATCTCGCATCAACTTTGTCGAATCCCGTATCCATCTTGCTTTCCAATTACTTAATGGAGTTCTCCACCTGCTTCATGGTATCACCCAAAGCTTTCACGCCGTCAAGCTGCAACTTGGTAACTGTAACATCCTAACAAGCTGTTAATATATGCCCTGTCTAATCAACTTACTGCCTACCTTGTCAAGCGTTGCCAAACTGCTCCCGACTTGTATATTCTCGTTGCTAAACTTCTCCCAAGTAACATAGTATCCGTGACCCTCAGAAGGTTGGGTGCCAGTAGCGGACTCGAATCCCCGATAAGAACCCCCACTAAAGCGACTAATGATAAGCCCGCGTTTTCAGGATATGTGGCGATTGGTGGCTCACCATACAAATTGTACAGATTCCGGTAGAATTATTGCGAAAGTGGGTTCTCCGTGACCCGATAGTCCTATTGGCCCTTAAAAGATTTTTGCTACGAGCACTGGCCAACAAAATCCACTCTTTTAGCTCTGACTTTCGCAATAATTCTACCGGAAACTGTAGAAGCTAACTACAAATGTCGGCTGGCGGTGCAAGATGGACCCAATTGTCACGCAAAATTTCTCTAAAAGGTAGTGGACTATACTGTTTCTCGTTAAAATTGTGCCCATCACGACGCCGTCATCGCACAATTGTCCCGTTCCTGGCCACCCTGTGGACCTTAGGTCACTGTGTCCTTCTTTTCGCTGCTATTCTATCCCTTCTTGTGTTTTCACGACCGGGAGTGAGTGGGCAACTTTTACTTGGTAGTACACCTAACCCTCACTCTGTGAACCTCTTTTGCTGTGAAGTCACCTTTTGTGACCCCTCCTATACCTTTTCTGGTGTCTCCACAATCTGTAGGTAGCTAGATTTGCTGAGTATATCACCACGCCGTCGCGGGCCTACAGTTTCCGGTAGAATTATTGCGAAAGTCAGAGCTAAAAGAGTGGATTTTGTTGGCCAGTGCTCGTAGCAAAAATCTTTTAAGGGCCAATAGGACTATCGGGTCACGGAGAACCCACTTTCGCAATAATTCTACCGGAATCTGTAATATGTCTCCCTTTTTGCTCTGACGAACGAAGGGATGTGAATCGAACGAAGGGGTGACCGAACACGTTGGCAATGATCAAAATGTGGGTTTTATTTTTATCTCGTGGTAGATATCGATGTCGTAGCACAGAACGACGTGTGCAGTGGAACACGCGAGACTCGGGGCGCAAGAGCTTTACCGGGGTCCAGGGAACATCACATCGACACCTGTACGTTCAAGTCAGTACATCGTAGTACAATCATCAACGTACTAGGGTACATGTATCTTGACGAGGTGCTTCTAATCCTGACCTATGAGTAGACTCCTTCACTGGGGTACGGTCAACACGGAGGTATGGTCAATCTCAAATATACGCCGGAGTGATATATGATACGCAGGGAGCTGATCGAATACCTCTTTTGGTTTCCACCCAAAACCTTGGAATCGACCACACCCCCGTGTTGACCATACCCCCGTGAAGGAGTTTATACTAATCAAGTGCAGCTCAACCAAGTCGAGCTCACCACAAGACAACCTGTTACGGCCTTAAATGGCGAGAGTTGAATATAAGCAGAAACCAATTCGATCCATATGCAAGTACAAGTAATTCGTATGGTCGTTTTATCCCTTTATATATGAGCTGCCAAACTCATAAACTCCCGTCCCTAGGTATGTATATAAATCCCTTCGTCTACGTATCTTACGTGCGTAGATCGAAGACAAAGGTGTCTAACATTGGCAAAAAAGAATACCCGAATCAGACGCAAGCCATATCAGGCACATGACTTTTAGCAGTTTTATCATGAGAAGGAATAAGCTAATGACCCCCGGCCTAGACACGTATTATCCACATCTTACTGCTCGGGCTATAAGAACTCAACACTGGGCCTAAGAAAATTTCTCAAACGAGGGCAAATCAGGAATTAAGTCCATTCACCAGAATTTTCATTCTTTCATTGTTTACTTTTTTGGCACCCAGCAATATTCGCGATGGAAAGTCTACTAGTCATATCAAAAATAAGCTAGTTAGACCTCCGGACTCTGGAATATCTGTTTGGCTTATGGTTTTTAAAAAACGGATGGTAGGCCCCAATTGATACTAAAGATTTGAAATCGAGCACTAACTTATGGATTTAGAAAATGAAAAAAAAAAAAGGTTACTAGATACTTCAACGATGCATATGTCCTATCTACGTCTTCGGAACTTAAGTGCAGTAGCAGTCATAACCACAAAGGATGGGATGGTCAAACTAAGAACAGTCTGAAAAACCACAGTGGCAGCATGATCTTGTCATTTATCCAAGTCTAAGGCTATATATTTATCATGTAATCAGACACAGGCAAGTTCCTTGACATTTTGAGCCTTATATCGGATCTACTTAACCGAAACATTCCAGGTCATATTCTCAAAGCGTCCGGCGTAACCGCTGTTCTTTGTTACACTGAATACCGCAGGGCGGCTGCATAGAGTACTCAGGTCTCAGAGAGCCGCATCACATCCTGCACACCGCCCAATATCTCTGAATTGCCGCGTAGGGGTACATAAATACCTACAGGTCTTGTCGCACAAGAAATGCCGGGCTGAGATGAGGAGGAGGAGACAAAAAGCATCACCATCTCAACCTCTGACCTTCCCCACAAAAGAGACTTCAAAGGAAAAGATAAAGATGCTGCAACCACCTACAGATGCCTTTGCGAATCTAGGAATTAGTGCGCCTGCTCCTCCAGCCTGTTCTTCCGGCTCTAGTGTTGCGTCGTCTACAACACTGGGGTTGGTAGGGGATATCCCTACTGCTATTACTACTGCTACTGCTGGTGATCGGTTGGTTATCGGTGTGGATTTCGGAACTACTTATAGCGGGTATGTTTTGCTTTTATTTAATTAAAAAATCTAATCAAGTAGCCAGATTAGTATGGGCTACGGGAGTTGCTTTTTATTATTATCTTCTTGGGGAATGCATTTACGTAAAGATGCGTTGAGAACTTGTATCAGGCAATCAGGGATCTATTTTCATACGTGGAGGTCAACTTTACTAACGCCATCTCCAGCGTCGCAGCTGTCTACAGCGGTACTCCAGATGATATTGAAGTGTATGTCAATGATCTGTACAACCTATTTCTTTATCTGACTAATATTCACCAGAATCAAGACCTGGCCCGGCGGGAATGGCATCACCTCCGACAAAGTCCCCACTGAGATATCCTACACTCTCTCTGCAGGCAATGCTTCCAGCTACCGCTGGGGCTTCCAACCTACTCCTACATCACCACGGCTGCGCTGCCTCAAACTCTTCCTGGACCGAAAGCAAAAGATCCCCAACTATGTGTCTCCTCTCGAAACCGCAACTTTGCTCCGTGGCGTCAATAAGTCGGTTCTGGACGCCATCAGCGACTACCTCGGCGCACTCCATGCCCATACCATCACAACCTTAACTCGGCGCTACGGAACCAGCTTTATGGCAATAACACCAATTACCTGGGTTCTCACAGTCCCCGCTGTCTGGAGCGATGCGGCGAAGACTGCCACGCGCCATGCAGCTGAGCGTGCAGGAATGAAGTCTCCACGGCTCATTAGCGAGCCAGAGGCCGCAGCGGTGTATACACTAAAAGCTATACAACCTAACGCTCTAAGTGTTGGGGAACATTTTGTAGTTTGCGACGCGGGTGGTGGAACAGCGGATCTGATATCGTATGAGATTGTGGCGCTGGAGCCAGATTTAAAGTTGGCCGAGTCGTCGATTGGAACTGGTGGGCTTTGTGGGTCTGTTTTGTTGAATTACGCATTCGAGGAGCATTGCAGGAAGAGATTGGGAAGGGAGGTTTACAATGGGTTGAAGCCGAAGACGAGAGCCATGGCAATGAAGTATTGGGATGAGTATGTTAAGCGGAATTTCAAATACATAAATTCCGCGACGAGCGACGGAAGTGAGGATGGTGAGGATGAAGAGGAGATATCAGTGCCATTTCCAGGACTACCAGATGGCGAGGAGAAACGGGCTGAGGGCGGGTTTTTAATGCTGAACAGGGATGAATTGAGGGATATTTTTGAACCCGTTGTGGAACAAGTTGTAGATTTGTGCGAAGATCAGGTTGAAACAATCAGAAGAAAGGGTGGAAGAGTCAAGGTACGTTCTCTTTGTAAGGCTACAGCTGGGACTCAACACTCACAAGGAACGAAAAACAGGGTATCGTGTTAGTTGGTGGATTCGGTCAAAGTAATTACCTGTATAATCGCCTCGATTCACACTTCAATTCTCCACCTCCATATGGTGAAACTTCAATATCAATTGCGCCGTTACCTAAAGTTGAGATAATGCAGCCGCTATATGCATGGACCGCTGTTGTCCGGGGTGCCGTCCTCAGAGGATTAGAAGGACCTATAATAGCATCACGGAAGGCTCGATATCACTATGGGACGAGCTATGCAACTGCCTGGGAGGAAGGCAAACATCCACAGGCAGAACGTTACTGGAGCCCTTTATGGGAGCGATGGATGATTGATGATCGAATGGAATGGCGTAATTACCCCCCCCCCCCCCCCGGGGGGCCCCTCCACCACGATGATTTATCTCTTCTTCGTAGCAAAGTTACTAACTGGCGCAGACATAAATCGTGGCCAGTCGGTCTCCGAAAGCGCGCCAATAAGGTTTCATTATACGCGTAACTTCCAATCCTCGCTCATAGTTGAAGAGGAATTAATGATTTGCGAGTCTGCGATTGCACCCATGACCCGTAAAGATGAGAGCGTTCGTCCGCTCTGTACACTGAAAACGGACCTTTCTGCGGTGCCGAAGAAGGAATTCACAAGGTTAGAAACAAGTGAAGGCAGGGTTTTTATGAATTTGGATTTTGTCCTCGAGCTGAGAGTGGATTCGGCAAGCTTGATGTTTGAATTAAAAGTAAAGGGGGTAAGCGTCTATACACGTGATTTTTGAGGGAGTGGTCATTGCTGACTAGGCGAGTATCAGATTGCATATGGCTCTGTGACAGCTACATTCCATTAAGGGGATTTTTTTTTTGGTAGTAACTGGATTGGTTGATGATGGAGACATGCGGTAATTACATATGAAATTATGAGCTAGTGGTTGTAACGTAATTCAAGTGAAATCTATCATTGACCCCACCTGGATAATTTCAGGAAAAGCAAAGTAGTACTCCAAAGGCCCCAGGAATACGCAAAGTACGTGAATGCACAGGTTCGATTGATTTTTTTTTCTCTGATTTTGTGCTTTCGCTTTTCTGCCAAACGTTACCACGCGCCTGAAATACCGACACGCATTGAGGCAACTATTGGTACTTTCCGACAAGCTTGACACTCTACCGAGTGCAGAAGGCAGAAAGACTTAAGGTGAATTAATTTTCAGACTTCCTAAAAAATAATTGTATCGGTAGTAAAGGCGAAGTGGGTAGTATCTCTGGAAGAACTGAGTTATTATTGGAGGTACATACCATGCACGCAGGGCACCACTCTATATTCTCAAAACATTCTCGTACAAAATTTACGCTTATCTGAATTTGAGACGAGACTAATAAAATCCTTCATCTTTTGGAATTATCTTATAATTACCTGGTCACGAAAAGGAAAAAAATCGCGTACTCATGCGTTACCATTTCCATTGTCACTGATATAAGAGCTATAGCTGTGCTCTGATTATGACGTCTCTGTCTACATACTTCATGTAGACGTAGGCTAGGCTTCTCTCTCTTCTATAAAGACGAACCTTTCCCTCCGGCAGGAGAAACATTCAAATCTCTCACTCTCACTCTCACTCTCACCTTCAAAAATTCGAAAGAAAGAAACTTGACGCTCTGAAATCCTTTTAAATTTTCTCTCCATCGATCTCCTTAACCTCCCGCTTTACCCCAAACCTCACACCACAAAACAAAATGAAAATCTCCCTGTTAAGTATCGTTGTATGCTTGCCCGCCCTCGGGTTTGTCGCAGCCAGGCCAACTGCTCATGCACCCGCCCACTCCGGCTCCGTGTATTCGTATTGGGACTATATGATCTCTGAGCACTCGCACACTCCTATTACAAAGAGGGAGTCTCGTATTGTGCCTGTCCCCAAGAACGGTATGCTACATTTTTTTCCCCCCTCTCCCCATCTCCCCCTACGCACTTGCGACTGTTTTGTCGTGTTTGCTATGCATGATATCATGGCTTTTGTGGCTTTTGTCGTCATGAAATATATATACAAGTATCCTCTTGAGATCTTCTCTACACTACACGCTCATTTTTTTGTCTTTATGATATTATGGCCTAGCTCTGGCGACATATATGGCCTTTGCCCTCACGATGTCATAATTCGTTGTGTCGTTCTCGCTTTACATCATCGCAATTCCCATATACCCATCAATGACGATTCCCGATACCCTCAGCGCTACATCATATGTAAACAACCCGCACTGCTCAGCACTAACACTAACACCCCCCAGAAAACGACAAGTTCCTCGACCGCTGGACCGCAAACTTCGGCACCCCCGCTCCCGAGCCCGTTGCGCACCCCCCAACAACTTCCCGAACCCTAGTTGGCACGCTCACCTCCGCCGCCGACGCCCTCTTCGGCGTGTTCGGCAAGGGAAAGGACCCCGAGCCCGGCCCGTACGCCCACCCCCCGACCCGCCATGCCGACAGCAGCACGGACCGGTACTCCAAGTACGCCGGCGGCAGCACCGACCGTTACTCCAAGTATGCCGCTTCCAACGTCGACGATGACGCACCACCCAGGTACGAAGATGTCTTTGACACAGACAATATCGTGGACTGGAGAGCCGACTCCCCGGCAAAGTACGCCCCGTCCTTCCTGAGCGATGACGAGACTGCCGGGCCGAGTCGGTATTCGTACTTCGGGGATGACAAGAAGGGGATGAGTGGATACTCTTCCAGCGATGACGATGAGCCTTTTAATCCGAACGGGGGCTCCGCCACTAACTATTGGTCTGAGCTGTTGGCGCCGGAGACCGTCGTGGTCATGCCTGGGAATCCGTTGACTGCCGAGGGTCTGGCGGAGGAGATTTGGAGGCAGGCTGATGCGGGGGGTGCCACGGAAGAGGCAGATTATTGGGATGCTGCGCCAAAGGAGCGCTCTGGTGAGTTTGGTCCCTCTTGTCTGTTTGTGCTTTCGTGTTGCTAATTCTGTGGGTATATAGGTTGGCAGAAGTTCCTCGACTGGTGTAAGCACGCCTGGAATACCGTTAAGGGCGTGTTCACGAAGAACTAAGTTGCCTTGATGTGACCGGAGGCGGGATGGTCGGCGGGCCTTCGGTTGTTGTTGTCATTCAATTTGTGATATCTTGAGGGATGGATGTTGAGACATTTAGCTTGTTTTTTTATTTATTTATTGGGAAATAGACGGGCTTTTTTCACTTGTTTTATTGAAATAGAAGCCTTTTCGGAGTTTTTTTGATTTATTTTTATTAAAGCAGTTGCTTTCATAGACACACTCTAGATAGTACGAATTGATTACATCTAAGATACGAAGCATGGGTTATCGTGAAGAGACAAAATGTGAACACGCCCCATAAAACATCACAAAAATCTCTCCAGGCACTCCAATCTTCCCAGATCCTAAGCGGTAGCAAAAGAAAGTGGCCCAAGACATCCATACTCGGTTCGCAACTATCACGACGAACACTGAGTGATAGCCTATGAATAAGACCAATTAACGAGAAAAAAACCACCGACGCCATGAATGCCCGGTATATGTAGGCATATACCTCAAGAACATTTTCTAGGTAAAAGAAATCGGAAGGGAAATACCTAGTATTTCCTAATTAATAAAAGCATCACTGGAAAGAAAATTATTTATTCCTCTGGGAGACGCTGGAGAGAAACCCTTGCAAGTACCCGACAAGGCATCGATTAACTGTTAACAAGAAGAAAGAAGAACACCCAGGAGCGGAGAGGTCGAAAAAAAGGATGAAGTAAAAGACCAACTCCGATACTAACACGTCCAAGCATTTCTGCGCCCCACTCCATGCCGCTCCGCAAATACCAAATTAAAACCCACAGAGTAATCATTACCAACGTGTTCGGTCATAGAATGATGAAAGCTAGGCATCCCGTCCGCTCTGCCATATATAACCATCATATCGCCTAGTTAGTACTGCAGTGGGTGACCATGTGGGAATCCTGGGTACCGAACTCATCTCTTTTTTTTTGCTGCGGTGAGGGGTGGGGGTGGATGAAGCGGGGGGCGGTCATGGTTGCACGTTGAGGGTGGGAGTTGGCGTGGATCGTTTGGCAACCATAGGCGTGCGCCAACTGGTAAGCGACACCAATAGAAGCATCATTTTCGAGGTTTTGGAGGGGACGAGATGTCTGGACTCTACAGTTTCCGGTAGAATTATTGCGAAAGTCAGAGCTAAAAGAGTGGATTTTGTTGGTCTGTGCTCGTAGCAAAAATCTTTTAAGGGCCAATAGGACTATCGGGTCACGGGGAACCCACTTTCGCAATAATTCTACCGGAAACTGTAGAGACGAAGAATTTTTCAGTGTAGAGCAGGGTGAACCTTGCTAGCGCTAGTAGCCTGCTAGCAGATGCGACGGCATGAAAAGAAAACTTGGCGACACCTTATCTTTTAGTTTAAAGCCTTACATATTTTTCAGTCTTATGGAATTCTTGATTTCTCATATACGGCTTGTTGGAGGCTTATGGGAGGCTTATGTGAAGAAACAGCTTGTTAAGAACCCATCCCCCTATCAGGGGTATATGGCGTTTAGAAAAGATTTTCCTCGGGTGCAAAAGTGCTGAAATGTAGAGAACTCGCGGAACGTTTCTTAAGGCACTCGAGTTCATACTGGAATCTCCTTATTGTGTGTGTCGTCCGTCGCTGCTTCTACGATAAAAGTAGTCGGCGGCAAATCTCCCTACGTATTGACTGTGTGGGGGGTGGGGGGTGAGGGGGTGAGCTTAATTCAATCGCGGTTCGAGTGATGAGTTGTGAACATGGTGTTAGCAGTCACAAATATAAAATCCACAAATCGATCATTACAGTCGTGTTCGGTCATAGAATGATGAAAGCTAGGCATCCCGTCCGCTCTGCCATATATAACCATCATATCGCCTAGTTAGTACTGCAGTGGGTGACCATGTGGGAATCCTGGGTACCGAACTCACTTCTTTCTTTTTGTTTTTTTGTTGGGGGTGGTGGATGAAGTGGGGGCGGTTTTGATTCAGAGTGGGAAGGATTTGGTGGTTTGGCAACCAGATGCGCGTGGCTACATATATCTGTAAGCGATGCCGATAGGAACATCATTTTCGAGGTTTTAAAGGGAACGAGATATCCGGACTCTGGAGACGAAGGATCTTTTAGTGTAGGGCGGAGTCAACTTTGCTAGCGCTAGTACTAGCTTGCTAGCAGATACGAAGACATCAAAAGAAAAACTTGGCGACACCTAATCATTTCGGAGCATAAGCCTTATTTCAGTCTTATAGCATGCTTATAGGAGGCTTACGGAAGGCTTATATGAGGTTTGTATGAGGAAATAGTTTTCTAAGAGTCTATGTTCTATAAGGGTTATGTGGGATTTAGAAGAGGCTTATATAACTCGGGAGTAAAAGTACTGAAACTCGAGGTCGGGCCATACAGAACTTTTATTAAGGCACTCTGTTTCTACTTGAATTCCTGGTTATGTGCGCTGGATAGGCCAAAGATGGTTGGGATTTTGTAGTCGTTCTTCGCCGCTTTTGTAATAAAACCAATCAGTCGCAATGCTCCCTAATACTGTGTGGGCGGAGATGCGGTTAATTCGATCACGATTCGAGTGATGAGCTGTGAACGTGGTGGCAAAGCAGTCCACAAACAAAACCGACCGCTTGATACAACAACGGTCCTAGGACGTTTTGAATGTCTCTTTTAACAACATACTCTATAGATCAAGACCTACGTATATCTCTAAAAGACACGTAGTTTATCGGCGTTACTTGCGATCATGGCAGACCAATGCCAAGAATTGTGAACGGATGTCACCACCTGGACAGTTCACCGTGAAGACATACGACCCACCCTTGAGAGGAATGGCAGCCACACATTACACCACCCCTTTACAAAAAAAAAATGACCTTCTGTCCCATATTTAGCATGGTTAAGGGCATAGTAGTACTCTTCTCGCCCCGCTCTGACGTGCAGAGCCATCAAAGACGAAAATCTAAAATCCACAAATCGATCATTACCAACGTGTTCGGTCATAGAATGATGAAAGCTAGGCATCCCGTCCGCTCTGCCATATATAACCATCATATCGCCTAGTTAGTACTGCAGTGGGTGACCATGTGGGAATCCTGGGTACCGAACTCATCCCTACCTTTTTAATTTTTGGTTGTGGTGATTATTGATGGTTGAGCGGTCATTTTGGTGGTGGTGGCACTGGTGGCACCTGGGAGTTGAGTGGTTTGGCAACCGGATTGACGTGTCTGCTGAACGGCCTTCTTTAAGCGATGACAGCAACAGAGTCCGGTTTTACGTTGCGATTTCTGATTTCTCGAGATGAAAGTTTTGTTGGTGCGAGGACAGGGGTCAACTCGGACCAGTACTAGTCCGGTTTAGTAGATGACACCAAAGGGACCCTCCGCGATACAATGCCTTATACTCTTGAAACGGTGATCAGAAAAGCAGAGTACGAATAGAAACTCCAGGTGTGAACTTCTCCCATCTTAAAGGGATCTTGAGTCCTCGTTGAGTTACAACATTTCCAAGGCAAGATATAAGATGAGACAGAATCGACGAACGGAACAGCATGAACTCCTGTTCCCGCGGAAGAGGTTCAAGCACCAGCTCCAGATCACTTGTTGTGTGCTTTTGTTTTCATAAATAAACGTACACGTTAGTTACCAGACCGATCAAGTAACATAAAAGCCACATTTCGATCATTTCCTACGTGTTCGGTCATAGAATGATGAAAACTAGGCATCCCGTCCGCTCTGCCATATATAACCATCATATCGCCTAGTTAGTACTGCAGTGGGTGACCATGCGGGAATCCTAGGTACCGAACTCATCTCTATCCTTTTATTTTATTTTTTAGTTGTGATGCTTATTGGCGGAGCGGCGGTAATTTTAGTGTTGGCAACCGGATTGTATCTACTGAAAGGCTTTTTTCAAGTGATGACAGTAAGAGAGTCTGGTTTCACGTTTTATGAATCGCGGGATTTCTGGAGATGAAAGCTCTGTTGGTGCGAGGACAAGGGTCAACTGGTGCAAGTACTAGCCCGACTAGGTGGTCCTAAACGACACTTGGCGAAGCCTTATAATTCTCAACAGTGATTAGAAATACAGATTCCGTAAATACAGGAAATTCTAGATATATACATCGCACTCAAAGCACTGTTTCCCATTAGAACTCTCCTATTGAAGCATCCTTTGTAGCGTGTCTGATTTACGGTTACTCGCCCTTATAATTTGCCGGGGAATTGAAATGAAGATTCTACATGTCTCTACGTGTTTCGGGGACATGGAATTGCAGGGAAAGCTTCGAGCTAGAAGGATTAAGTATGACTGCTCAGTACTGGAGTTCGGCACCCCTTCTAGTGAGGGAGCAAGAGCGCAGAAAATCAAAGAAAAGAGACCGAAAAGTGCTTCCTTGATACGCATATTACTCTCGTAGCAACTTGAATCTTCCGCTTCGCTGCACAGTGAAAAATTTCCTTTGAGTTCAAGTTCCCGTTGAGCTGCAGCGAGATAGATGACATCAAACATGTCGCAACAATCTCGAAGAGAACACGCACAAGAATTTTCAGAGAGGAGGCTCATGAAGCACTCCTGGTCACTCCGCGCAAACCGGGCCTCTGATGCCGAATTCCTATCATAAAAAAAAAATTACACGGTACCCAGCTAGACCAAGCAAAGCAAAAATAAGTTCCACAAATCAATCATTACCAACGTGTTCGGTCATAGAATGATGAAAGCTAGGCATCCCGTCCGCTCTGCCATATATAACCATCATATCGCCCAGTTAGTACTGCAGTGGGTGACCATGTGGGAATCCTGGGTACCGAACTCTTTTTTCTTTTTGTTGTTGTTGATGGGGAAGCATTTTGGTGGTTGTGGGTGAAACGGGGTTGAGGGTTTTTAGTGAAAGTTAGGGATGGCAACTGGATGGATGCGCGATGATTTTCTATAAGCGAAGAGGCCGGTGATCGAATCTGTTTTTACATTCTCGAGACTCGTCATCGAGACTCGAGAGAACAAGGGTTCTGGAGATGAAAAGCTTGTTAATGCATGACAGGGGTCAGCGAGCCCCAATAAAAGCTACCAATTTACATGTAGATAGCATCATTGGCACACCAACGGTGATGAGAAATATAGAGATACCCGTTACGTATGTACGGAAAACCTCAGATACGTATCTACATACCCAAAGTACTCACATAACCGTTTAAATTGTTGCCATTGCCACTCTAAGTAGGTTTATGTAGAGTAGTATTTCTATCACCAGCTTCCAGTTTTTGCCGTGAATTACATATTCGTTTTAGGCAACTCGTTAAAGTCCATCGATCAAGGAAAAGAAAAAAAAAAACCAAACCCCAATATCGCCAAAGAATTCCTATAGGTGTAATTAAGTACGTAAATGATCCACTTGTTGCGAAGGCGGTGGTGTTCTGACCCCGCGGGGTGATGGAGTTCCATATATACATGTACGCAAAGTCCACACAAACCTCAATGGCTAAACCACTCAGCAAGCCCAGCAAGTTCGTCCGAGGGATCGCATTTTCTGATATTTCCCAACGCTCAACGGGGAGGGGTAGCGACAATAGCATATACCATGTTCAGATGACGGCCGTGTTGAAACCCATAGGGTAGCTTTTATTAACTAGCCGGTGGCATCGTACGTCTGTTATCGGTTCTCGCGATATATCATACCTAATAATTTCGACCAGGATGGAGTAGGATCTAGACCTACACGTTCTTTGAGCTTCGTGGACTGGTAATAACGACCGACAAGCGATCCTAAGCCCTCGGAAATACGTGGCTCTGGCCTTTTAGACACGAATTGACACACGTCCCGAGAACGCATAGCTATAGTTGAACGGGGGATTATGCCCTACTTGCAATTTAGGATTATGGTTCGGTCAATTGATCGGAAAAGCCATGGGGGAATGTTTCTCGTGCTTCGTTGGCTCGGCTGCGGTGGAATCTTCTCGATGATCATGATCGCTGCACCTTTAAATAGCTCGCGGCGGCAGCACCCCAGCTTTGTTGCCGTCCCCGGAAGCGGATCTTGCCGGGCGCTGCAACCAACCGCCGCTGTACACGATATCTGCACCATCAACAATCACTCCCTCCGCTATCTGCAATCTCTGTGCTCTCTACACCCCGTCTACAGCTCAGAAGAAGGCCACAGCAGCAGACCACAGCAGCAGACCATCCTCGGCCCCCCATGGAAACCCACGACTCCCCCAACCCCACCGGCCCATTCAGCACCTTCACCGCCTCTCCCCCCTCCCCTCCCCCCTCCCCTCCACCCCCCCTCGACACCCACACCTGCCGCATCTGCCTCGACCAAGTCCCGCCCCCCTACGCCCCCGACCCCGAGCTCGGCCGCCTCATCTCCCCCTGCACCTGCAAGGGCTCCTCCCGCTTCGTGCACCAAGGCTGCCTACAGCAATGGCGCACTCTCTCCGCAAACCAGACAAACTTCTACCAATGCCCCACCTGCCACTACCAGTACCGCTTCCGCCGCCTCAAGCTCGCGGCCATCATCGGCTCCCCGGCCCTGCGCTTCGGGCTCACGAGCAGCATCATGGTGCTGGCCGTGTATCTGCTCGGCTTTGTGGCCGAGCCGATCATCAACACGTATCTTGACCCGCCGGCGCTGTTCCTCGGCCGTTCTGGTGGGAGCACGGCGGCGGCGGTGCAGCAGCCGCTGTCGCTGACGGGGCGGGCCGGCGGCGTGGTGGAGCATATGCTGAAGGGCTTTGCGTCGCTGGGGCTGCTGGGCTTTCTGAAGGTGGTGTATCTGCTGCCGAATCCGGTGTGGAACCTGCGCAGTAGTGGGATTGGGAGCGGGATTGGGCGGTCGGGGAGGGATCGGGCGGCGCAGATTAGTTGGGTGGTGGTTGCGATTGGGGTGGTGAACTTCTTTATATTTACGTGGGGGCAGGTGGGGGGGTGGGTGAAGGGGTGGATGGAGAAGGCTGCTGATGAGATCTTGGAGGTGAGCCATGAGGAGGAGGGGGAGGGGAAAGGGGGGAAGGACGAGTAGGAAGGGGCCAGCGGGCTGGTTATAGGTTGTTAGTTCTTTTGTCTCTTCCTTTTTCTTTTCTTTTCTTTTCTTTTTTTCTCCTTCTTTCTTGTTTGCTGGTTTTGTATTGACAGTGTCGATTGCATATTGTGCTGGCGTTATTTAGTTGATCCTGGCTGGACTTGTCCTTGGTGCTTAGTTAGTTAGTTGGTAGTTCCATGTAGCAGTGGACGTAGATTAGTGGTTCTCTAATAATCTACTGTTTGATAGCATATTACCTCCGTGGTGATCCGCAGCGACCCAACACGAGTGACATCGAGTGGCCATAAACCTATCCACAACCCACCTCGAGCCCCCTCAACCTACATATCTCCAACAGAAACAACCCCATCATCTCCACCCAGAAACCCCCCCCCCCTTACCACAGGAAATATTGCCTCAACTCTAGAATGTTACTCCCAATATAGATTATCTGTTAGGCGCATACAGCAGCAAAACAGCCAATTGAAGCCCAGCCTACGGACAAAATTGTCAAATCTTGATGACACTTACTAGAAGTTGTATTGTTGGGCTAATTTAGTAGCACTGCGCTAACAAGGGTGGCTCGCACTAATAAACCCCTGCTTCTACTTCCGCTCCATCTTAGAGACATCTCCAGAGACAAAAAAAAAGAGATCCCTCAACCGATAAAGTCATTCCATGCACTACTTACAAGAATCCATCACATATCCATCCAGTTGCCACCACTAAAACGCTCAACCCCCCCCGTTTAAACCACAACCACCCCCCCAACAACAAAAAAAACAAAAGAGTTCGGTACCGAGGATTCCCACATGGTCACCCACTGCAGTACTAACTAGGCGATATGATGGTTATATATGGCAGAGCGGACGGGATGCCTAGCTTTCATCATTCTATGACCGAACACATTGGTAATGATTGATTTGTGGGTTTTATTTTAGCTGTAGATCTTTTTAGAGGTCTTGTACGCTAAATCCTATCGTGGGATTGAAGTGGTCTAGGATGGAATAAGACAGGAACTACATACTCTTGAAAAGGACTTGGGTCGGGGGGCCCCTACAAGTCTACTTGTATGGTTTGTCTCTGGCCGGTTTGATAAGTCAAGGGTCCAAAATGGTACCACTATAGTCTTTTGCACCCAGCATCCCCCCAATCCGTCCCGGATTTTCACGGCTTAGCCGCCCAAGCAGGAAAAGACAGATCACAAGACAGAGGCTGTGGTAAGCAAGACGGATCATCATGTATCACTCGGACACCTCTCTCACTGGTTTACTATTCTTTTGGTTATAAAACAGCGAGATTTGTTTATTACGAAAGCTAGTTGGTACTACACCATTCAACGAAAGAAGCATAAATGGCACCAATATTACAGACTACTAACAATTAAAAGGGAGAGAGCTGATGAAACGGAAGGAACGAGTGAGTGAAAGAAGGAAATATATGAATGAAGCTACAATGTCGATATCAACATCACCGCACCTTACTAGCAGCACCACAGTTGTACGCCTGCGGAAGAAAGAGAAGGAAATGGCAACGTGAAATAGGAGAAAGAAAATCCCACCGACAACGAGGTAAAAAGTCCTCAAGGCGCCATAACCCCCTCCGAAAACAACATCAACCTCACACCTCCCTCCTCCACAACTCCGTCCTCCTCCACAACTTCCTCCTCTCTCATCCCACCCAAATGCGCCAAGCACCTCTCACCACCCACCTTGCCGCCCACCCCCAACATCTCAATCGCCCACCTAAACCTCCTAACCATCCTCACATCCATCTGCACATACCCCCTCCCCACACACCACGGCCCCTTCCCACCGTCGCCCCCCGCTGCAACCACCGCACCATCACCCCCCTTCACCCCCACCGGCAACACCAACCAAACCCTCTCCTTCACCCCCGTCCCCACCCCCTCCACAAACGCCCCCAACCCCCAAAACCTCTTCAAAAACGCCCCCATCCCCAGTTTCGCCCCATAGCCCCCACCGTTGCCGTCCCCGCCCCACAGGTTCCTCCCAGAAATAAGCCGCTTCCCAATCTCCTCTTCCACAGAGGCCAACAGTCTAGTACGGCACTTGCACACCCTCCTGCGCAGCGCCTCCTCCCTGCTCAGTCCCCCCGCGGGGACGGGCGCGCGGCAGCGCACACACATGCCCTGCGACTTCAGTCCGGCGTCCCATGAGTCTTGGACGGAGCGGCGGACCGCGACGAAGAGGTAGTGCTCGATGAGGGTTGAGACGGAGAGTGGAAGGCGTGAGATGGGTGGGAGGAGCGTGGAGGTGTGGTGGGTGGAGGTGCCGTATTGGTGGCAGAGGCGGAAGCAGTGCAGGGCGGGGAGGAGGAGGGAGTGGGCGGTGAGGGTGAGGAAGAGGGGGATCTTGGGGACTGGGTGGGCCCAGAGGAGGAGTGGGGAGGTGGTTTTGGGGGGGGTTGGCTTTGGGGTGGAGGGAGTCGTCATTTTGAGGGTATGTGTGCTGATTTGAGTATTTAGTTGATTAAGTGAAGATTGCAGGCAGTAAATTTGAGTGTTTTTAAATGAGAGATTGATGAGAGATGGAACGAAGGATGAAGGAGGACAGAAGAAAGATCATGAGAAACCAAGAGGGCAGAACAGACCACGTCCAGGTTTTTATTATACTGACATATGCTTAGACCAAAGTGTATATTGGCAGACAGGCCAGCCTAGCCCACATGAGCCTATCCTAGATCCAATGAAGAGGTCTCTGCACACTCCTAAAGAAGATACAATGTGCTACTGAACCCACGAAACATACCAAGCAAAAAGATAAGATTTCTCAATCATAGATGATCACTCGGTGCTTATCAGACTAATTGGCGGGTGATCGAGGGTGATCGAGGGTGATTCTCGTCTCCTCAATCTCAAAAAACTACAGACTATTGAAGAAAATCAACATAAAGATGTAACTTAGAAGCAAGACTACGCATGTATTTCATGAAGCTAATAGAAAAACTTTAACGAGGTGAGATGCGCAGGAGATGTGAGATACAGCTTCACGTTGGACTTCCTGTCCGAGTATCTATTTGACATGCGCATATCCCCACTTCCCGTCAACACCTTTGTACCTCCTCTGCTCCCAGCAGATGTATATCGCCACCCTCATCTCCCAGAAGCCTCACCCCCAAACCACCCACACGACAAACCCCACAATTCCCCCAATCACCCACGTCACCAACACATACACATGAAGCGCAAACGTCACCTTCTCCAACGCATACTCGAACGCCTCCTCCCCAGCTTCACCCTCAAAGCCCCTAACCCCCACCGGCTCCTCCCACCCATCCATCGACTGCCCCCTCCCTTCCTCCAACCTACAGATCGCCACGCTGCCCACCACCACCCCCTTCGCCATCCTCTTCCCCTGGTACTTCCGCACCGCGGTCTCAGCGTCAAACACATGCACGCGCACCCTCGGCCCCCCCGCATACGCCGTATTGACGACCGTCACCTTCAGCTTCACCTCCGGCAGCTCCACCTCCTTCTCCTCCTTTCCCTCATCCTTTGCCCTCCCATCCTTCTCGGGTATCAGGAACCCCGCGTCGAAAAACGGCTTCCTGACAGCCGCCACAAAGTCCCGAAGCCTCTCATAGCCATCGCCGAGCTGATTACCTGTAGGAACTGTATACAGCACGCCTGTGCGCCACTTCCCACCCCCCGTCTCGAGCCCCCTCAGGTCCGTCTCGATGGTCTCATAAATACCCCCCCACGTCACTCCGCGGACAATGGCCCTAAAGTCAATCTGCTCGAGGAGCTTCACGGCGGCTTCCTCGTCCTCTAGAGTCGGCAGTGATAGAAGGCCGAGGGGGAGCTTGAGGGCGGAGGCGGGGCGGATGGCGCTGGAGAGGAGGATCTTCTGCTCGTGGTAGAGGTAGGCAGTGAGGGCGGTGACCATGTTGTCGAGGGTGATGTTGAAGGGTTCGGGGGCGGGAGAGGAGGGGGGGTTGTGGCCGAGGGGGAGGCAGAGGTAGTGGGTTGGTTTTGGTTTGGGTTTTGGTTTTGGTTTTGGAGGAGGGGACGGGGAGGGCTCCATTGATAATGGGGATTCCATTGATAATGGGGATTCCATTGATAGTGGGGATTCCATTAAGGATAGGGATTCCACTGAGGATTGTGATTCCATTGAGGATGGGGATTCCATTGATGACGGGGACTCCATTGCGGACTGGGATGCCATTGGTGATGGAGATCCCATTGGGAGCGGTGGGGATGTCATTGGTGATGGGGGAGGTGTCATCGGCGAAGGAGGAGATGCCATTGGTGATATCGTAGACTGTCGAGATGGAGAGATGCAGAGACGGAGAGACGGAAGGGTGTGATAAAAGGAAGAAGGAGGGGAAAAAAATCGGATAGAAGGCGGTTTGGGAAGAGGTTAGATGTGAGGAGGTCATTTAAGCTTCATCCTCTATTTAAACCGTATATCTGACGTTTACAGGGATATAAGTAACAGACGAAACGCGGTCGACTCGCCCTATGATGATAAGCTACAGGTTTAATCGTCTTGATGCCAAGGAGTGAACATGTATTCTACATTTCTGCTTTTATGAGTACAAACCTCTCTCTGATCATAAAGACAATTACTCGTCCTGTGGTGGGGTTGTTTAGGCTTCATTCTCTGAACAGTACGCATATCTGACCTTTACGGTATATGAATAACAAGCGCCCTATGATGATGCGCAATGAACTGCAAGTTCAATTATCTTGTAGGAGGGACATGTATCCAGCCAGTACATATCTCTAATCTTATGGATACAAATTCTCTCTAGCCATAAACATAATTACTCGCCCTATGAGTGTTTCAGTTGGTATCAACAAAATGGTAGTGTGACTACGAGCGAGTGATCTCTGGTGAAATGAGACGCACGGGTGTACGTCGGCATAGCTACATACCCTGGTATGAACACCTATCATGACAACCGTTACTTCAGTATGAAGGTCTGTCTAGACCAAAGACCACAGCCTACCAACTCATATCTATCTTGCCTCCAGATTACAGTTGTCAACCCACAGAGCTAAACATTCAGGGCTCCCAAGGTTCCCAAGGACGAAAGGAGACAAGGGATCAAGTCTTCGGATTGACACCCCAGTCCGTGACGCCGGTTGAGGCTCCCACGGCGTCTTCCGCCGGGAAAACGGAAAAAATGCCATCTTCCGAGGAGCACCGGTAAGATCTTGTGGAATGCATGACCTGAGTAAAAGCCCCGGGAAGCACAAATCAACCACTCCATCACATCACACAACCAGCAAGCAAGCAAGCAATGGGTGGGACAGGAACAGGGACACCGGAATATTTTCTTCTCGCCAAATTGCGCCTTTCTATTTCTTCCCCATCGTCTCTGAAAAAGGAATCAAGATATAAAAGATTTTTTACAAGTCGAAGAGAGAAAAAAAAGAAAGAAAAAAAAAACCACCAAAAAATAATGCTTATTACAGAGAACCGTGCATATCGCCAGCATACCAAAGGACCAGTTATGCTATCTAAAACGAAACAAACTGTCTAGACCCCGTGGACACCATCGAGACAAAAAAAAGAGTAGAGAGGGGTTCTATGTGACTTTTAAAGAGATAGGATGAGGGAACCGCTATGAGATGATTTTCGAGGAGGGGGTTTGGGGAGTTTATTTGGTAGCGTTGCGCAAGTAGCTAGATGCAAAAGTCAGCGGAAAGCTCAAATGAAACTCGTTCGTGATATCAAGAGTGAAACATACGTGATCAAGTCGTTCCTGTCCTTGTCCTTCTTCAAACCACCGAACGCCATCTTGGTTCCGGGAATGTACTTCTTGGGGTTCTCGAGGTACTCAAACTACACGCCAACTCCGTCAGCAAACTATTCCCACACCTGCTGTCGTCATCGCCGTAGTAGTAGTCAGACTTACCAAAGTGCTCTCATCCCAGACGACACCCTTCTGCTTGTTGGCATCGGTGTATGAGAAGCCCTCAACGGTTCCGGACTTGCGCCCGAAAAGACCGTGAAGGTTAGGTCCGACCTTGTTGGCACCGCCCTCCTCGAGGGTGTGGCACTGGGCACAGCGGGTCTTGAACAAGTTCGCACCCTTAGCGTCGTTACCTGGTGAGCGGGAGTGTTAGTATTGATGAGCTGAGAGTAAAGATCGTGTACCCATCATCAGCATCTTCATTCCATTCGATTTCAATTGCACTGAGCCCGACATCGGTCAAGAGTGGAATTCCTCCCACTCAAACCGATGACGATAGACAGCACAAGCGAAAAAGAAAAGAAGAAAAAAATGAAGCATCGTCAAGAGCACACACAAAGGAGCAAGAGAGTGAAACAAACCTTCAGCGAAACCCATTGTGATCAAAGATTGGTGATTGAGGTAGTAAGTTGGTGTATGTTGGAGTGAGTGAGATGATGAGAAGACAAGACTCAGGATCAGGGACGGGAGCGGAGGTTAAAAAGCCAGCTCGGGGAAGCGGCCACGACGAAAAAGAAATTTTTTTTTTTTCCCACCGTTTGAGCTCGACAAACAAGGCACTAGGCCCAATAGTGGCGGTGACCGCTGACGGGACCTCATCCAGCCACAGCCTTGTCAGCCAATGACGACAGGAGTATTTGCGAGACGTTTCTTGGCCAACCGTATTCCGGGATCTCCCGGGGGCAGGCTGCAGCAAGGCAAGCCCGCGGCGTCGTGATGAGATGTACCCTACCCTACCCTACAGGCTACAGCCCACCCATTTTTACCGTACCTATCACCGCCACAGGAGTATTGCTCTCGAGGTCCTTTTCGTGCTGCGCGAATTTTCCTGATGGGATAAAGACTCCTGAAACGGCGCCGGATCTCGAAATAATGACGATTACATACCGGTTTTCGTCCACACACATGACATGAGGCTGAGAAAATCGAAAGAGAAAAAAGACCCACGACCGGTATCCGACTAATCTATCTTTATCTGGCCTGCAGCGCAGCGCCAGGAACACAGAAATCGGAACCCCCGCTGGGTTACCGACGTAGGGCCGAGCCGCAACACTATCCCATTGTGTTCCATCCCGTGGGGGGGGCAAAGGTTCAAAACTCAAACAACGATTTTGGGGGCCAGAGACGAATCCACGAGAAACTTTTTCAGTTCACGCTGTCACGTGGTTGTCAAAAAAGAAACTAGTTGTCCAGATCCTGTGATTACGCTCCGCCAGGCTGTGGGGTTAAATCGAAGGGTCCAGCAAGAAAGATCTGTGCCGGCAAAAGGGGTAGATATCGGTGGATCTTGCTTTTTGGTTTTTTTCTTTTCAGCATCTGCGGGAGCCTAGATAAACGTGGCCGTGAACCGCTATTGATAATCCTCTAGAGTAGAGACCTCGGGCATTGACAACGAGACCTGCCTGTAAGACTTTTCGGAGGTTTCATCGTGAGACTGGACTTTCCTGAGTCACGGATAGCATTGCATGGCAAATGGGGTCACAGAATGGAGAGATATGGGCGAATTTGGACGATTCTGGCAGCAGCTGATATGTATTTGGACAACGAGCTTGAGCATCATGGGAGATCATTCGAACTTATCGAACATGTGTTGGATCTGTAAGGTGGCCTTAGCAACGGTGTCCACAGTCTAGCCTAGCTAGACGTGTTACCTTTATATGTGTAAGATGATAGGCCTTCATTCTCCTTCGTAATGGAACCATCCATCCTATTGTTGCCTATTGAGTCTTCCTACAGGATCGCATTTCGCTTTCTTCCCAAAGCCAAAGACAGCAGCGAGGCTTCTAGATCTTAGGCCTGGTACAGCACGGTCCATGAATGGACGCTCGAGGCGAGGTTTGAGAATGTCCTCCAGGTGCCTCCTCGTGGACCTCTGTCCTTGTCAGACCTCGACGTCCAACACTGCTGTCCTCGAGGTGCTTCGAGGAACCTCGAGGACGGTTCCGGGAGAGCAACAGGCGGTATTTGGGACCACGCTAGCCTGGGATGTTCCTCCCACAGAACGAGTGATATTTGATGAGAATCAAAAACCTCGGTCGATTACTATTCAGAATTAACCAGACGGTCTAGGATTCAGTCAAACCGGCCACGAAACGGTACAAGAGAACAAATTCCGGATTCCAATTTCTGCAAGCATCCAAACCAGATTTCTCCCTCTGGGCTTCCCAACCCCAATGCCCAATGATGACGTACATATAAGTGGCGAGTGATATTGCATGAGAATGGAACAGCGCAGAACGGACGGGATGTCCTAGACTCCTCAACTCGCAGGTCTTCAATCACAAGTAAAGTAAACCAGACCCCGATGCGTGCTCGTGCTCTACAGCGGAGCACAGAGGATCACTCGTGTCGATGCATGCTCTGTGTGAGCACTGCGCACGCACCGGCATCTCGACTGCCATTCAGTAGAGAGCCCCCGTCCACACCCTGATTTAATCTGTCCCATCGATCAGCAAAGCCCCGACCATTAACCTCCCAAGCCTCCCAAACCTCCCAGACCTCCATACTACATCCACACTACATCCACACTACATCCACACTACATCCACACTAAACACACTCGCTGATCCAGATCTCCGCGCCTGAGATCTCCCAGAAATACCCCCGCGCTCATCATCAGCTCTAAATAAAGCACCCGCGCGTGTGCCTCTAGGGTTAGGGTTTCCGCACGTGACCTCGAATTCCAGACGTCATCATCGCAAAGCTTCACAGCTTCCCCAAACCTCCAACAACCTTCGATATCAGCACATCAATCACCGCATATCGACATCACCAGAATCCGCAAAGATGACACCATTCCTCAGCAATCTCCTTCTCTTCTCCCCCCTCCTCGCCATCGCCGCACTAATCCTCTACGTCCTCGACCGCGCCGACCACCTCCGCCGCGGCGCCGGCCTCATCCCCGAGCTCGCGCCAGTCCTAGTCCCCGAAGAAGAAGAAGAAGAGGAGGAGGAGGAGGAGGAGGAGGAGGAAGAGGAGGGCCCTCCCGAACTCATCGACCCCAGCGACTCCGCCTCCCCCGATGACGTCTCCGAACACGACTCCGGCCCCGGCCCCGAGCTTCAGGCCCCACCCCACATCTACCCCGACGAGGACGCCGCCGCCCTCCAGGGTGCCCCCCCGTACCCCGTCATGCCCCCCATCCCCGCCCCCCGCGCCCGCACCGTCGGCACCAAGAAGGCACGCTCCCTCGCGTCCCGCGACCAGCGCCGCGCGTACCACGAGTTCCTGATGGCGCAGCAGGAGGAGCGGGCCCGCGCGGCCGCAGCCACCGCGGACGACGACGAGGAGCGCGTGTTCAACGAGAAGCGGCGGCGCGCGCTGGCTGAGGAGGAGATCGACGAGCGGCTCAAGGCGGAGCGGGCGATGCGGGCTGCGGCGGAGCGGGCTGCGGCGGAGAGGCAGCGCCGCGATGTGGACTGCTTGAAGGCGATGATCGGCGGTGAGGGGGGGAAGGCGTGGGAGCTCGCGGCGCTGGCGGCGGATATAGGGAGGAGTACGGAGTGGGTGAGGGGTGCGTTGAGGGCGGAGGGGATGGTGGGGATGAGGGATGGGGTTTGGGGAATGCTGACGGATGGAGGGTGGTATGTGCGCGTGGGGGGGAGGGAGATGGGCGCTCTCTATCTCGAGCTGGAGAACAGGGGGAGGATGGATTGGGGCGATATGGCAAAGGTCGTTGAGGGCACTCTGAGGCTCTAGCTCTGAAAAAGAAAAATCCATCGAGAGTACCTACCTACCTACTCTCACTAGGGCCTGAAAAGAAAAAGGAAAAATATATGCCCGCCCTTAAGCTTATAAATATAGTTACTTACTTTCTAGTCTTTGCTTTTATTCTCCGGTGTTTGGGTTTGGTCTGGGAAAAATAGAGTCACGGTTTCTTTCCTTAGTTTAGTCCTAGAATAGGCCGCCATCCCCTTTGTCTTGCTCGTAATAAGACTCATAAACACATACATATACTGTCCGTCCTTCGTATAATAATTGGCTTAGTAGCTAAATAGTTGTTGACAAAGATCTGGTGCGGTAATGATTGATTGATTGATTGATAATCCTCCACGACCCAACCCCGAGTGAGGATTGAGCACTGAGAGTACTAATATCCAAGTAGAACCCTCAATTGCAGACCCCCATTCCATCAGCCTGACTACCAAGACCGAAAATCCCCCACCACCAAACCATCCCCAATTCCACGTACCCATTAACCCCCTCCCCCCCCCCCCCCCCCGCGTCCAACGACTCAACCACCGCAATCACGCCGCCATCCCAAACCGCCCTAATTCCTACACAGCTCATGGACTAGATAAATCTTATCAGGATCACACGATATGCCCCCATTGCCCAATTGGTCACATGCCTACAGAGCGCATATTAGCCTGTTCGAGGTATTCCTCGGTGTTGATTTCCCCGATCGTCCGTGGCCGTGGTTCGATTTAAGCAGTACTCTACTGGTACCGATCAAAATCCCCTGTACCGCGGCTTTCCTAGATGGCATAAGTAATTTAGATTTAGAATTGCACACTTGCTTTTTTGGTGCCTGCGCGTTAGTGCTATTAACGATACTCGGGGCAGGTAACAAGAACCTGAACATAAAAACGCGCTAGCAGGGGGGTCAAAGTGGTTGCTACCGGAAAAACGATGTTCAGGTTCTTCATGCCCACCGCGAGTACCCACACAATTCACAATTCGACGAAGAGAGCACAGCAAAATTCGAACTTAACAATTCTCCCGCCACCGCATCCATCACCAAGCACGCACTCCTCTCACAACCCCAACCCCAAAGTAACCATGCGCACGCCACACACAACTGCCCAATTCCCCGCCACCCAAAACCGAACTGCCCGAAAAACTCCCCAGCGAAGAGAGGAGGAGCAAAAGAGATGATTTCGCCCGGGCTCGAACCGGGGACCACAAGTGTGTTAGACTTGTGTGATAACCAACTACACCACGAAACCAGCTGTCTGTCGTTTTCCGTTTTACTTGATTGAATTTTTTTATTAGTGCTAGTGGTGCTGGGGTTGGTGTTGCTGCTGGGCTAGCCTGGATCGAGTGTGGGGCCTTGGCAATTTTTCTCGGGACGGTGGGGCTGCGGATGGTGAAGTTATGAGTTTTGGGGGTAGAGTGGTTCGGAGAGGGTTTAGGAGGGTTTGTGGGGGGGTTTTGGAGAGGGAGTTGGGTCGAGATATGGTGGAGATGCGGTCGTGAATATTTGTATGTAATTGAGGAACGAGTGCTCTCCGTAGAAGCACCCCACAGGAAAGGAACGAACAACTACCAGATTTATTGACTGTAATATCGAGAACTAATTTCCTCTCTTCTGTTAGAGAGTATTAGCAAAGCGTCAATCATAGCAATTGACGTTTTGTCGATCACGAAAAGTTGCAGCCCGGACTCTGTGCTTAGTCGAATTGACTGCCAAAGGGGATTTGTCGATTTTGACTCTCGCAACCGTTAGCATATATCAAAATATCCATCTACAAACCAGTGCTTACCTCAAAATATATGTCCACTCCCTCAATTCCAAATCTAGACGTAAATCTTCCGAACCACATCCACGGCTAAAGATCGAGTGATATCTCATGAGTCCTAAACTAAAACCCCCACTTCGACACAAAGGCTCCTATTATCCAATTAGCAAACAGAGATAAACCCAATGGTCAACTTTCATTTCAATTGGCTCTTGCTCTTTATGTTGTCCAGGAGTGATTGTCAACCTGACAAACACTATAAACGCCGGGCCCAATGGGCCCATCAATTGCAAACCGATACGACCTACTTGTATGGACAACGCCCAACCACCGATTCCGTACGTAGATCAATTATGTATGGTGATAATCAAAGTTCATAGGCCTACTATTCTAAGCGCTAGCGATAGCCATTACAAAAAAAACATACATGGCAAGAGATCAGCAAGCCATGAATTATCAATCAATCAATCAATCAATCAATCAATCAATCGACCTCAGCAAGCCCGTCTTACCCCCCGTAGCCAAACAGAAAGCAGGAAACCCAAATATCTCAAGCCACAATAAACCAACGACATCCCAGAACTTTCATGCATTCCAAACGGCCATATTTATGCACTCAACCGTCCCCGCTCATGACCACCAAGTTACTATCATGACCACCCAGCCATCATCCCAACCCCATCCCAACCTCCCCGCCACTTCTAGTCTCAAACAATCTATCATCTATCTTACACCTATCAAAACCCTACTCGACACCCTATCAATGCCACCCATGGCCAACAGAGTGTCACATTTTCACGAGCCTAAAGAAAAGATTAAGGAAGAAATTCAATTGATCAAATGTAAGATACAGTATTCAACAAACACCCTGTGATGTCTATAGTTCACCAACTGGAAGGAGAGGATAACACGGCAGTTCTCCAGGGCATTGATAACGCTCGTCAAAACCTTCCCCAGCATCATTGATGGCCATGACTATGGCCGGCGAGCCCGATCCCATGCCATAGGACCTGTCTTTCCACAAATACCGCTCCATAAACACCCCAGTATCCCAGAGTTGAAGGCATCGATCCAATGCCTTCCTTCACCGCTCCATACCCAATTGGCCGTGCTCGACAAACCTAATCTATTCTTCACCGCCGCCCAGCCACAACAATAACAAAAACCCGCCAACCCGCCATCCACCACCACCATCCACCCATGTCCATCCCCAACCCCCAAAACCAGCAAAAAAGAGATGATGATTACTGATTGCGCCCGGGCTTGAACCGGGGACCTTCTGTGTGTGAGACAGATGTGATAACCACTACACCACGCAACCGATGAATCACGTGTACGCATATGAGATTTTGAAACGCAATCATGCGATCTCACTCGATTTGGTAATATTCCGCTGCGGAAACGCTCTCCCCCAGGATTACGCGATTCTCTTCAGATCGGCGGTATTAGGAGTATTCTAGATCGATTATTAGTAATTTTCTTCATCTGCACATCTCTTGGCATTTCACGAGAATCATCACCACCGTAAAAAACAAACTTTACAACCAACACCAGAGCCTCCTGTCAACCAAGCAGGCATCCGCCGTCTCCGTGCAACTCCCTAGCGTGCCAGAAAATCAGACAAAGAACAAAAAAGAACGACACCGACGAGATTCGAACTCGCGCGCCCGAAGGCATCCGCTTACACTTTCCTAAGAATAGCAGGCGAACGTGTTAACCACTCCACCACAGTGTCCTGGTAACTGGTTTCCACCTAGGAAAGTAACAACCTTTTTAATTCAGGGCTAGGGCTGAATGCTCATCATGTCTGCTCACTCGTCGCGCTAGGGATCTACATGCACCCCACTTTTAGGGAAGGCCAGTAGGATTAACGGACGGTTTTGAGAGTCACGCGCGACCGTGAGTGAATTATTTTCTGGCCTCTTAAAACTGGAAGCAATGCAGGATGAGCGATAAACGGTTGTGATATAAAACTCGTTTGAAACGCGGTGGGAAAGAAAGTGCAATGGTGGTTGGTTGGCCCGGGTTGGCGATATGCGTTGAGGATCACGACGCTGGTCTGCGTATGGGGGATTCGCCCCTCTCTGCATCTCAACTGAAACACCAGCTACAATTTTTTTTTTGACTCCCTTCACGCCCCGCTGCTGCTGCGAGTACCTACGTAGGGAATCTACCCGCAAGAGACTCTGCTGCAGAGAAATTCACCGAGATAACCGCGGCGGCGCAACGACCACAAGTGGCTGCCTGAGTTTCCCCGCGTTCGGCTGCCAAAAGGAAAAAAAACTTTTATCGTTGGGAGAGGGGGAGGAAGGAGGAGAGGCGTTGTGGATTGTGGTGGAGAAAGTTGGAAATGTCGCCAGAGAGATGGGGAATCGCGTTTGGATGAATGTCGATATCCGCCCGTCTGGGAATTTGATATGGTCCGAGGGGAATGGCATAAGAAACAACACCATTCCCTTGCCTTGTTTGCCAACCCGCTTGCCTCTGCCTCTGCCTTCCTGTCTGCCTGCCTACTTTGCCTGACATGACATGGAAACATTCTCACCTGTTTCCTTCGCTTCCCCCCTTCCTTCGAAGCTTCTCTTTTCCCCGCACAATTAGGATGTAGCGGAGAATTAAAATTAAAAAAAAAGAGACATCGTCACCCTACCTCCCTTCCCACCCTTAATTTCTCTGCAGTATGATATGTTTGCTTTCCCTTTTCCCTTCGCTCGGCATATATGCACACACGCCACCCCACAAAAACCTGGAACGGAAGCACCTTCCCCCTTCTTGTTTCCCCGCAAAACGCTAAAATCGCCCCACTGCCTGCAGGTTGGACGATTCACGTGGTACACGCATGCAGCACAGTCGTCGGTTCGTCGGTGGGTTACTGCATACATACAGCCTGGAGGCAGCAGCATGTAGGTTCGATTAAATTGCTCTCTCTCACCTGGAGGCATAGTTGCAACTCGACCGGTATATCGACGATCTTATCAGGCCGCTATGCAACTTAAGATGAAGAAACCCCCCTTTCCTCTCACTCCCTTCGCTCGTCTCCCTTCGATCCCCCTCCCCCATCCATCGCGCGGAAAATAAGCAAAGCAAGCAGCTCCAAGAAATAAAGAAGGAAAAAAACTTAGAAAAAAACAGTCAGGGTACCGAGTGTACATAGAGCCCAGAACAGGGAGGGGAGAGGGGGGTGGTGCCCGGACCCTACTACATACATACCAGATTGCCGATAAATCCCTCCAAACA